TACAGCAAAAAGATTCTTCGAAAGGCCAGAGCCGATAAAGCTGAGGACAGAGCTTCACAACATAAAACTACATGTCATAATCACAACCCAAATCCCCAGTAGCCTCAAGCTGGAACCAAGCATTCCTTTAGAGTAGGCTCCCAGCCTGCATGAAGTTACTTCTGTAGACTCCACTTTGTTGTCAACAATCACATCTGTGCCCCACTGCCTGAGATTACTGGGGCTGCAGAAAGAAAATACAGTACATTTAAGACTGCCAAGAAAACAGCCCACAGCAAATACCCTGAAAGTGGGCAATAATGCCATGCCTTATTTTTTCCTCCTCAGCCAGAGTTTCCCTGTAGCTTTGGTCCTTGTCCTGGTAACTCACAGAGATCCTCCTGCCTCTGCCTCTTGAGTCCTAGGATTAAAGGTGTGCACAACCAGCACCAGGCTCAGCTGCCACGCCTTCTAATACTCACAGTGCTAGAGAGCGGGAGCTCTGCTACATCTGCCTTCCTTTAACCTCAACATCAACTGAGTGCTCTCTGGTCCAAAAAGACAGTACCTTAGTGCCTGCTTGCCATGTGGTATCAAGGTAGTAGGACAGTTTACACAAATACCTCAATGGCCTCCTAGTACAACTGACTGACTATAGTTTTGTTTTGATTTTGGTTTTTCTTTTTTTTGGGGGGTGAGAGCTTGAGACAGGGTTTTTCTGTATAGTTCTGGCTGTCCTTGAACTCAAAAGATCCACCTGCTTCTGCCTCCTGAGTGCTGGGATTAAAGACATGAGCCACCACTGTCCAGCCTAATTACAGTTTTAATCTTTTAGTTTTTAAACCATTTGGGACTGCAGTGGCATCTTGTTTCGCCAGTACACTTGCAGTGGTGGCTGCACCCTAGGGGTGTGGCTTCAGGTGTACAGACGTGACCCCTTATAAGGAAGAGGAAGGGTTGGCTCACTCTCTTGGGCAGTAGTCGGACCGGAAGGGCAGAGACTGCATCTTCTGGAGCAGGAAGACCTTGGTGATTATTTACTCTTATTTGTGTAAGTGCTTCCCTAATCAATACCTAATTATCATTTATCTTGGGTCTGGTGGACTCATTTAAACTCCGCCTTCATGGGACAGTGCTGACTCCCTAAGGAAGGGCAGCAACACGTTTCTGACACACTATTAAGGTAACACAAAGTGCTCAACAACTGTCACTTTTTGATGTTGTGACTAATAAGGTCACTATAGGGGCCAGAACCTTGATATCAACACATATGCTTCTTTTGAAGAGCTCAGTAACAGACAGCAGCTCAAAACACGAGCCCCCTTACTCAGTGAGTACCTGCTCTTTACTATATACAAGTCCTGGTAAATTGCTTTACACACCACTTACTTCTTCTTTGTGTGAACACGGATTACTCAGAAACAGGTGACATTTTCCAAAGGTTAAAAAACAGAACAAAACCTGAAGAACAACGACTGTCAACTCAAGTTCTGCTTACTGCTGGGAGCAGAGCAGTTCACTCTCAAAACCATAGATGTCAATCTGTAGGGAGCAGATGTACAGCCCCAAGCTTGCATGCATATACAACTGACAGCATAGCCTCCTGTTCAAACACTGCTGTGTGTGAGTTTAGTCTCGCAGTCCCAAACTGAAAAGTACCCTAACTTCAACCATCAACAAGATAGGCAAATTAACAACTGTGCATTCATCATTCAAAAACATGGGTGACAATGGCATGGGGGAGGAGTCAGTACTACTGGAATACCACAGATGAACACATGACTAACCTTTAAGCAAAAGAAGTCCTCTATAAACCTTATACAGCAACTGATACCCTGAACATGTAAAGCAAACAGAAGCAGGCACTGCTAGCACAGTAGCAGGGAAGGGTTGCTCTGGACTGCAAATCTTTGGACACTAGTTCCCAGTCATGTTCAATTTGTGACAATGCACTGAACTGATCACTGGGCAGCTATGGTACAAAGCTAGACTGGTAGTTTTGCTTGTCTACTGCTCTCATTATCTACAAAGAGCTCAGGGAACTGGTTATGAGCCAAGCACACTCACAGATGCTCTTTATTATGTGGCACAGACACTATTCCATGATGTCACTGCTAGGAAATGCTCATTTTGAGCGAAGCTCCAAAAGCACAAGAAGGATTTTCTAATAAAATGTTTAATGCGTATTATATCTTCGAGTCACAAAACAACAAAATACTGGGGGCATAAGAGAAAATTTACTGACTATATTAAAATACTGCCATTGAGGAACTGTTCATACCTTACAGAAATGCCAACAGCTCATCTCATTCTGCATCTGCATGGGTTTGCCCCATGAGCATGGAAAAGGACACAAAGAGGATAGCTTCCTTGGATCTCAGGGACCCACTCCACAAAGTCTGGCCAAGAAACCTTGCTAAGCCTTGGGCTTAGCTCTCAGTCATAGTGAGTGCACAGGTTAGTTATAGGCGACGCAGTTATGAATCTGCTCAAAGGGTTGCTTGAAAGTAGTCAAGGGGCTAGATTTGGGAAACATGTTTGATTTCTTGGTGTGACAAAGGGCTATCTGCTTCTTAGTAAAGCTTCCGATGTAATAAAAGTGATTTTTTAAAATAATAGAACTCATTTAATTATTGTGGCACACTGCTCATGGAAAACCCAAGCAATAAACTGTATAATGAAGGTGAAGAGCAACTCCACTGCAGATGTGCTCACTGTGTACAAGACAGCCACTGCTACAGCAGAAGCAGGTGTGCACTGTGGTCCTGGGGGAGGTGAGTATGACGATCCCTGTCCTCAAGGAGCCTCAGTCTAGTAGGAAGGAGACATACTAGACTGTGAGCTCCTCGAGGGCAGGAAAGCGCTCCATCATCTGTGCCCCGTGCCCAGAATCTGAGCGGTGCAGGTGCAGCTGGCTGGAGCATGGCTAACCCAAGAAAGCAATGAGGACTTGAAGAACAGTCTGTGAAGTCACAGAAGGCCAGGGCCAGAAGCCAAGACAAAAAAAGAGAGAGTTCTGCAGGTAGGGGAGACGTTTCATGTGTATGGGGAATGTGGCCTTGGTGTGAGGAAGGGGGTCAAGATATTCTCAGGTCCTAAATGCCTGGACACAAAGGGTCACAAGCAGTGGAAGGTGCTTCAGCAGCAGCATTGCTTTCCTAGAAAGTCCCACTAAACCAGATAGATGAAAAGAAGCCGAGGGCATGGGAGAAGCCAGCTTAGAGGAGGCAAGACTCTTCTTGGACAGTATGATGTCCTGTAGACAACTTACAGTGGAAATCTGAGACTTGTGAGCAGCAGGGCAAGCAAAAGCTAAAGATGGAAGGGGAGGCAGTTGCCCATGAGCAGGCCAGACAGCACAGGGGAGGTGACAGGGGACTGGGCCGTGCAAGCCTATGAGGAAAGGAGATAGTGGGAGGCAGGAGGCAAGAACATCGGGCTGGGAAAGACAGCGAAGAAGGCCAGGGTCTGTCACGGTCAAAGAGGAGCTGAACAAAAAACAAGCCAGACAAACGCAACTGCTGAGCAGAGCAGTGACAACACAGACAACAAAAGTCCCTCAGGGTTTAGGTGGGACAAAACTCAGAAAGGCGGTACAGAGCTGTCGCAGGGTGGGAACCATATCCAGGGCTGTGAGTTGAGGGGACTGAAACAGTAGGTGGTCTTGTGAAAGGAAACTCACTGCATTAAATGAACAGAGCTGCCACTATCTCTTCAGTGGGACTACTGAGCTTTCCAGCTGGTGGACACAAATGTACTTACAAACACTGCTCACTGTATAAACTGCCTACTTCTCCAGGGCCTGACCTCCTTCACACACTCCCTCAAGAAGCCTTCCTCTAAGACTGAACTGGAGGCCTACAGCAGTGGCAGAGAGGGAAGTTAGATGAACATTATGGCCTGTGACAGCTGGAGATGTTTTTTGAAAAAATACAGCAATTGAACAAACAAACAAACAAAAAATCCAAACTCAGGGAAGTCCCCTAAACATGAGAGGTGAGAAAATATACAGAGCCAAAGTGCCATCTGTGTGGTCAAGCTGCACATGGCTGCAAATTATGTTAAACCACAGTCTTATCAAAGTGCTAGCTCCATCCCAAGTTTTTTTTTTTATTACTTGGTGCTCAGTCCTAACCCCAGCACCAAGCTATAGAAGTGAGTAGGACAACTATCAGGTGAGTCATGCTAGGGACACAGACAAGCTATCAGGTAGTCTGCAGATGCTTCTTTGAGGTAATAGCACAAATGTGGTTTCTGTGTGAGCTTTCAGGGGACTGGTAGCTTATAGAGACCTGGTGTCTACTAGCACCTGGCACAAAATTCTTGAACAAACAACAGACATTTTAAATACACATCAGAAGTTCTCCAAGGTACCAAAGGAGGGGCTCTCCCATTGGGAGATGGGTTGGGTGATGAAGGAAGAGGGAGCATTTCTGCTAGATTCTGAAGACTGAACAGGAAGGAGCTCATCCAATAGCAAAGGGAGACCAGGAACACAGCATGCGCACAGATCATAAGCCCAGCAGGGGAATTCTAAAACAGTCAGCTGTGACTGTGCACAGAGCACCAGGTAGGGGAATTCTAAAACAGTCAGCTGTGACTGTGCACAGAGCACCAGGCAGGGGAAATCTAAAACAGTCAGCTGTGACTGTGCACAGAGCACCAGGTAGGGGAAATCTAAAACGGTCAGCTGTGACTGTGCACAGAGCACCAGGTAGGGATTGTGTGAATGAAATTCGAGATGCAAGCTGGGTCAAAATAAAGACAGGCCTGATAAAGCCCTGCTAAGTCAGAAGCTAGGGAAAGAACTGAATCACAACCAGAGCTTCAGGAAGAATTGTTGATCTAATTCACTAACAGCTCTAGTGAAGTAACAAGACATACAAATCAAATTCCAAACTATGTGTCCAGAAGAACCAGTTCCACCTTAGATATGCTGACAACATCTCAGAGCTATGACTGCAGTGGAGGAGAAGAAACAGACCTGCCCCCACCCCAGGCCCTCACCACCCCACTCCTACCTGAGCTGAGCTTTAAGTTCAGTAAACCTGGGCCGCCTGCTGGGGTCATAGGCCCAGCATTTCGTCATAAGGCTGTAGAGGGTGGGAGGACAATTTGGAGGCATTGGTAATCTTTCCCCATTTTCAATTCGACCGATCACATCATTGTTCTTCACTCCTTGAAAAGGCTTCACGCCATGCATCAGTATCTCCCACATACACACACCTGTGGAGTGGGAACGAAAACAGTGCAGTGAGCTCAGCACCCAAAGAGAAAGGCCCAGGCTATGGGGACTAGATAGGCAGCTGGCAGATCTGGGCAACTCGCCTAAAAGATTGTGGCATTCAGTCAGCACCCAAACACAGGAGGACAGCAACAGCTAGTTCATATGGCATGAAGAACAGAAGAGTCAGAACTATTTCAGTGGCTTATTTCTGAAAATTCTGTATTAGCAAGTAGTCCACCAGCTACTGTAATATGTTCCTGGTTTAACCAGTGCAAAAATACCCCCAAACAAATCAAAACAAACAAACGAACAAAAACCCCACAGAAAACAAAAACCACATCCTCAGTGGATTTTAAGCCCACCCCACCCCACCACCAACTTAGTACCATGCTGATTTGAACTAGTCACTAAGGCTTAACAAAGAAATACTATCGTTTAAGTCTTTAGCTCAAGAAAGCTTGGATTCCTCACCAAGGAGTATATGGGCATTATCATCTTGTTTACACAACATCATCTCATCTAAAGGCCATGGCTAGACCTTAGAAAGTATACCCACTTTCTAACACTGGGAATCAAGGATCTGTCCATTATCATCTTATTCACCAAAGAGTTTATCTCCCGAACAAATGTACAAACCTAACAGCACCGACACTAACAATGGTGGCATGAGATAGAGAAATGACACAGGGGATGGGGTGCAGGTCGTTTCTTAGCATCTCACCAATGCCACTCAGTATTCTAGCCCTCCTGGCTTTTTGTACCTTCTGGATAGTCCAGTTCTAAGGAGCTTTTCCTGTGTCTCACCCAGAGGAGGGTACAGACTGGGCAGAGTGAAGTTGACCTCTAAGGAGGCAAGTAACACTATGTGTTCACTGGAATCAGATTCTAAAATTGACCATAAATTTAGATCACAGAATCAAAGTTCTAAAGAGTCCCTGACAAAAATAACAGGCTGCTACTGGGCTATCCTCACTGGGAGCCAGGACAGTATTGTTAGCAAGTTCTAGGACAGCCAATGCTACATAGTTGAAAAAACAAACCAAACAAACAAACAAAAAAAAACCACAAAACAAACCAAACAAAAAATCCCCAAACAAAACCAAAACAATAACAACAAAAAAATCCAATCTATTTTATATAACAAAATGGGAAAACACACCAGTGTAGCTATGCAATAATCTTTTCTTACTATTTAGATTTTATTCTTACCAAAAGAACTCTTTTTAAGAAAATTATATGTTGAAAGTAACAATACAACTCAAACTAACAAAGTTCACATGAGACAGAAAGTACAGCTGCATCATAAAATGTTCTGATGAATAGCAACTCTAAAATCTTAACATATTTCAAAAATGCTAAAATGTACAGAAATGGGCATTTAAATTATGAAGCACAGGATTCCCTGAGAAGACGAGCATCTAGCCTTGTGGTTTGTATAGCCAAGTTCAACTTGCACCTGCACTGGACCCAGAGCCTTGATAACCCTACCAAAGAACGAAATGGATTAAAACCAACAGCATTCAAGAAGCGCTCGGTGGGCAGAGCTATGGAGGCGTACGAACAGGTACAGAAGGGCCCCCTGAAGCTGAAAGGCGTCGCGGAGCTCGGCGTGACGAAGCGGAAGAAGAAGAAGGACAAAGACAAGGCCAAGCTGCTGGAGGCCATGGGGACGAGTAAGAAGAGCGAGGAGGAGAAGAGGCGCTGCCTGGACAAGCGCACACTGGCGCAGGCGGCCTTCGAGAAGATGCAGGAGAAGCGGCAAATGGAAAGAATCCTGAAGAAGGCATCCAAAACCCATAAGCAGAGAGTGGAGGACTTCAACCGACACCTGGACACACTCACCGAGCACTATGACATTCCTAAAGTCAGCTGGACCAAGTAACCTTCCCCTGGTGCAAAAGACAGCCAGGTTGGCTGTATTGCTCCCTCAGTGTTTTCGAGAAAGTTCTACACCTGCCTGAGGCTTCTGCTGAGTCCAGACTGTCTGAAAATTGATTAAAGTCAGGCTGTTCTTTCACTGAGTTTTCGTTTCTGGGTAATATCCTTTCCTATTTGGACTGTTATGTTGTGAGCTGACAGGCTGGGACCATTTCTGGGTGAGGGCCATGGAAGGAGGGTACCCTTCCCAGCCTCTGCCCTCATCTGTACCACAATGCCAGGACAGGAAGCTCCGGCCTGTGGACCACCACAGGACTTCCACAGTACTGCTCCGTTTGGGCCAACTGGACCTCAGACCACACAGCAGTTCCGGAAGCAAGGATGGAACACAGGCCCCGGCATATAGCCAGTTCCTCAGGCCACCCAGTGGCTGCCATTGCAGACGTTTCTAATCAGCCCAGCTCTCGGTGATGGCACCTGGCACTCTAAGCACATGGCGTGTGTCATGAGCCTGCGAGGCATTCCTGGCTTAAGGACCCCAAGTGCCAGACAGTGCCAGGGCAAAGCATCTGAGAGTCTAGGTGGACCACTTGGAGAACCTGTGCACGCACACTATTGAGAGAAGCAGCTTCTGTTGCCATGGATACTGAAAGAATGGCAGGGATCACTGGAGCTGACGTGTAGAATAAAGAAGTGCCAATCATGAAAAAAAAAAAAAAAACCAACAGCATTCAGACAGAATAAAAAGAGCGCTTATTTGCTATCTGTGAAGTTAATTTTACTTACAGCAGTTAAATAAACTTAATTGTATTTCTCCTCCAGAGCAGTTTCAAACTTACAGAGATAATTTCACTCAAGACTACCCACAAGAGCCACAGGTGAGTATCAGTGACAAAAGGAAAAGCAGAGTACAAAGAGACACCTGCTGTGTGAAGCTTCCTGAAAGGGGGACAGTTTAAGTTAGATAGGGTCCAGTTGGAGAAGAGGGTGTAAGAATCAGGCATTCCAGGCAGAAAGAACATCAGGGGGCCATAAGAAGAGAGTCAGTCACTTTGTGATCATAGAAAGCTTGCAAGCAGACCACAGAGCAAGGGGAAGGAGTGTGTTTAAAGGCCAAGTCACAGGAGATGAAGGGCCAGTGCCCAAGCCTGGAGACAGGAGGCTTCAGGGCAAAAGACTTGATTGAGTACAGATGCTCTGGGCCAGCAGTGCCTCACAGAGTCAGAAGAACCTACATGTTGGGAGCAGTAGGAGAGCATGAGGGAGAACAGGAAGAGGGAAATAAGCAGCTGTTCCCCCTGGGAAAGGCAGAGAAGAGCTGGGGCAGTAACACAGACCACACTGATCACAGAGGACACCGGCAGCAGCATCTGACAGAAGGGATGCTCATTCTGAAGAGATGATTCTAGCTTTATTTTGCATAATACAGCAAAGTTAATTTAAAAAAATACTTGGGGGGGGGGCAGAGGAGGAAGGGAAGGAGAGGGAACTGGGATTGATATGTAAAACAAGCTTGTTTCTAACTTAAAGAAAAAAAAGGAAAGAAAAAAAAATACTCACCAAACATCCACACATCACTAGCTGAGGTAAAACGTCGAAAATTGATTGACTCTGGAGCCATCCATTTAATAGGCAATTTTCCTTTGGAAGCTAGAAGATTAATTTGAGAAAATGAATTTTCTTGTTAGCTGCTTGATTACCTAATAGAGCTAGCCAAGATTTTCAGCATCAAAATAAAAAAGCATCAGATGACCCATAAGCATCCATTTCTTTGGGAGACTGACTCATTTACTTGGTGCTTTGACAGTTCATAAGTGGCTAGCTTGGGGTAGAGACAGAACACTTGGATGTTGTTTCCCTCTTCATCTGAGGAAGAATCTGTGAATGGTGGTGACAACACAGCCCATGACATGAAGTTTCACAGTGTACTGCAGCACATTCACCTGCAGTTGGGGTCCTTGCTCAGCAAATGCCCCATGTAAAGAATACACATTCCACTCTTGCTGGACAAATCACGCTCTTCCAAGCTGGCCCAGATACAGAACCTCTGCTCCCAGAAAATATATATAAACACATCCTGCAGAGATTAAACATTAAATCCTAAAATGAATTGTGTACGGGGGGTTCTATTCTTTATAAACAAGGCTCACACCCACTGCATAGGGTTACTCTACTAATAAAAGCCAGAGCTATGCTCTGCATCCTGACCAAGTCCTCTGGCTCAGAAAGACCTCAGAAGGAAATGTATAGCCTGGGAAAGCTCAAAGGTTTTACCACTCTGTGCATGTCCCGACTGACTACAAAATCATCTCAAGGACTGACGTGGAATTACAGACATTAGCAAAGAGGAGAATGAACAAAGCTGAGTCAATGGAGGATCAGGGCTGATGACGCCACCATGTGCAGAGCAGGAAGAAGCGATGTCATGAAAACAATGCATCAGAGCACCCTGAGCACTTCTCTGCCTATAGAACTGAGCACAACTCACTAATTCTCTGCTTGCTGAGATGAATACAAGGGTTCCTGTCCTCAAGGGACTATCATTCTTGAAGGCAGGCAAAGAAGCATAGTCAGAAGTGGCCCCAGGAATGATAAATGAAGACCAGGCTAACTGTCTCATAAACAGAGGAGAAACATGGTGCCGAGGGAGGGAGGGAGGATGTGTGTGTTGGCACAGAGCAGTGTGGGTGGGGGGGTGGGGGACACAGAGCAGGCAGGAACCACTATAAGCTCTACAGAGCTGTAAGCAGCAAGCCTCTCTGTAGACCTTCAACTCTCAGAAAGGGAGCATTTCAAAACATCCCAAACCTAAGAAACTTATATGGATTTGTGAGCTGATTATCTTGAATGTTCAAATGATGTAAAATCTTGGTCATCATACAAAGAACCTTGGAATTTAGTTTTATAGTGAAACTTTAGGGCTCAGACCAGTTAAGATTTGAATTAGACATGAAATATATTTCAGAATAGTGAAAAACATAGTTTAAAATCATCGAATTATTTTCTTATGTTATAGGATCACTGTGAAAATAGGAATATTCCAGAAGTGACAGGTCTACATAGCAGAGAACTCTAATCTGAAGAGAGGTGCGGGTAGTGAGAGCTGGGAACCATGAACAATTTTGTGTACTCACCTACCACCCAGCTAGTCTCCCCAGTCTATGTGTACTCAGATTTTTGCTCAGGTTTTAAATGCTTTGTTTACAATTAGCATTCTTCCTAAATGCTGGAGACTAGTATTTGTCACACACATGTGTAGCAAATATTTTCTCTTGCTCTGCACCTTGTCCTTTGTCCTTTGCAGAGCAAACACGGAAATTTCAATGTGGTTGTTCTACCAGCTTTATCTTTTAATACACTTTGCTGGCATGTGTACAGGCCTCTGCTTAACTCTAGATCTCAAAAAAGGGTTACTATGTGGTTTCTTCTAAATTTTGTAGTTGTATGCCTTATAACTAAGTCTTGGCTGTTTTGAGTTATTTTGAAGTGAAGTCTGGGTTGAGACTGTCTAAAAGATCCACTGGCTGAAAAGCCAATCCTTCCTCTATTAAACTGGCCTTGGACTTTAGCAAAACACATTATGACAAACCAACTCACCCCTAAACAAACCCAAATATCAATGATTCATAGCCTATTTCCCAGTTATTACCCTGGTTTCTCACCTTTATAGTAAGTACTGTCTTCCATATATCGGGATAATCCAAAGTCTCCCAATTTTACACAATCATTTGAGGACACAAGAACATTCCGAGCAGCAATGTCCCTGATGAAGAAAAATTGGGGACAGTAAGCACAACAACAAATCCCATCAACTCATGATTAGTATATACAGGTGCACAGATAGGTATTATATACAGATGCACAGGTGGGTATTTTGAAGGACAGCTTATACACAACAATTCATAAATTGTTTCACTTCATATGTATTCCTTCTAGAGGATATTTACAAGAATGAGCTGATGATCCTTATGAATAATGGCCAAGTATTTTCTCAAACTCACATAGTGATGGCATGGTGGCATTATATATTGACAAGCAGTGAATATATAATCAGCATAACTGGAGATCGCCATAAACAGAATTCCCTGCAAGGACTTGTTCTGAATAATTTCTATGATGCAGTCTGCTGTGAATACTGGACATCAAAACAGTAACTCTGCTGTGATCCTTAGAAAACACATTATAGGGAGCTTCCCTTGTGCTCCAACCCAGAGCTGCAAATTCCAAGTAACAAATGTCACTCACAACATTTAGACATTCTGCAAGCCTCAGGTCTGCTTTGAGGCCACTTCTATACATTTATTGTTCTGCAAGTAAAGGCTCTGGATTATGTTTGGGGAAGGAACATATGTCTTAAAAGCATCATACAGAGGGACAGACAGAGTGCTTGAAGGGAGCAGGCTGAGACAGTGTCATTGCAGTCTGGGCTGGCCTAGAATCCATGGAACTCCTCTAGCATCAATCTCTCAAGTGCTGGGAATAACGATGTAAGCCACTATGCTTCGCCTATGAAAATCTTTTGTCTGCTAACAAGTCATGGCCCTTCTCTCTGAAAGGACATAATACACCTTGAGTCCCCCTCTAACCACCTCCCTCAATACAGTTTCACTCTGTAGACCAGGCTGGCCTTGAATTCACAGAGATCTGCCTGTCTCTGCCTCCTGATTGCTGGGAGTAAAGGCCTACGCCACCATGGCTAGCTCAACATCATGACTTTTTCATTTGGGGGAGGGGGGGTTTGAGACAGGGTTTCTCTGGGTAGCCTTGGCTGACCTAGAACTCACTCTATAGACCAGGCTGGCCTCAAATTCATAGAGATTTGCCTGCTTCTGCCTCCCAAGTGTTGGGATTAAAGATGTGTGGCACCAGCCAGCAGCACCATGACATTTTAATGACTGAACAGTCGGCTCAAATGATATACAAACATCTTGTATGGGGTGCAGAAAGTAACTTCCTACTTTGTTTCTCCCAGTTAACCATTCAGTGCTGAAATGGAACCACTGACAGATGTGTCTGACTGAACACCTGGTTCCTAGCTGATGGTGGCACTATTTTGGGAATTTGTGGAAATTTTTGGAGATAGGACCTAACTGGCAGAAGATCACTAAGGCAGGCCTTCTTGGTTTCAGGCTAATTTCTGACAGTACTACTTCTACTGCCATTCCTTTCCCACAACAATGGTCAGAACATTTGAAACCTCCTCAAATTGTTTCTGTCAAGGATAAGAAAAGTTACTGCACTCTACACTGCTCACCCCTATCAGAATGCCTTACCTGTGAACAAATCTTTTGCTTTCCAGATACGCGAGTGCTGTGCTAAGCTGATAGGCATATAGGATCAAAGATGCCAGATCCAAGCTGTATTTCCTTACTTGCAAAAATGACCTCAGCTTTTGAAATAATGGCCAAGACAAAAGAACAGTAATTAGAGACAAAGTATAGATATTAAAAGCACAAAAAATATACTCAGCAACAATGTGAAGGTTCCCAAATGTCCTTTTATTTTATTTTTTAATGAGATAAGGATTTATTTTGTAACCATGGTTGGCTGGAATTAGATGTGTAGACCTGGCAGTCCTTCAACTTACAGAGATCCTCCTGCCTCTACCTCTTGAGTAGGATTAAAGATATGTACCAACATGCTCAGCTCTCTAAATGGATTTTAAATTATATTATACTTTAGCTGTTCTTTGATAAATAATAAAATGATTATTATTCATTAAAACCCCCATTAAAACGTCGAATCTTTATGAATACAGACAAATTTCTAGCACATGTAAAAGACGGGCCTGGGGAAAAGGAAAAAGTATGTTGTAAAGCACTGCTAAACAGTGATACCCGAGAATGAAAGAGCAGTCACTACTGCAAGCACACAGCACACTCACTTCCCCCAATGCACGCTTTTCCTCTCCCATGGTTTTTGATACACACTGGGTGTTTCTCCCACTGGGTTTACCAGTCCTTATCACTGACACCATTCATTCAGCTACATACTAATACAGGGCTTCATCAACACCCACACCATTTCTAAAAGTCAGTAAATAAAAGGGAAGCATTTAGCAAACTCCTCAAAAGCAAAAGCATGAAATAAAACCTGTAAAACCAAAACCTTACATCACCCTTCACTTGATTTGACACTAAGGACACAGAGAAGGGAAGTGATTATGTAAAAATGAATGCTGGTTATCTCCCTGCCCAGTTAAGAGTTTGACTCAGGGGCTAGAGGTTAAGAGCACTGGCTGCTCTTCCAGAGGACCCAGGTTCAATTCCCAGCAACCACATGGCAGCTCACAACCACCTATAATGAGATCTGGTGCCCTCTTCTGGCCTACAGGTATACATGCAGGCAGAACACTGAGAGAGGGAACAGACAGACATAGACACACACACTCAGACACACAGACACAGACACAGACACACACGGCCAGGTGGTAGTGGCACATGCCTTTAATCCCAGCACTTGGGAAACAGATCTCTGTAAGTTTGAAGTCAGCCTGATCTAAAAAATGAGTTCTAGGACAGCCAGGGCTCCACAAAGAAACACTGTCTAGAAAAGTCTGACTCAGCAGCCAGGGAGGGGCTCAGGATCTACTTCTCTAGCAAGCTTCCATCCCACATGTTTTGAAGAATGCCAAACAGGGCCAATGATACTGTTACTCATAGTTTTCAAAGAAACTGAGTAATAGGTTAGTCTGAAAGACAACAAGTGAATTCTCAAAAGGATTAAGTAGCTGTTTAGATTTGGTACTGTTTCTTTCATCCTCAAGCCCCTGAGCTAATTCTTCAGGCAAAGCCACAAGAGGGAAACTGCCTGGTTATCTGTTGCTACCTGTTCCGATAACACACCTAGATGGGAAAGAAACTGCTGAAGGGAACCATCTGGGAATGTAATGATGAAGATTTTATTTCATTTTATGCTGAAGATGAGGGTCTCACACTATATTGTTCAAATTGACCTCAAATGTCTGGGGTCAAGTGATCAACCCTCTTCAAACTCACAAGATGGGGGAGTAGGATTAAGATGAGTTCCACCAGGCCCAGTTCAATGAAGAAGACATTTATAACATAGCTTCTGGATGAAAAGCATACATAACCCTCAACAATGTAACTTGTGTATTTGTGTTATGCAAGTGAAGGATATCACTCAACAGGGACAAAGCTGTTGCCACCCATGGCCTTGGTACCTCTCCAAGCGTGCACAACTCCATGATTATCCAGACGGGGTTCTCTGTAATGACTCCAATCAGCTTCACGATGTGAGGATGGTCAAACTGACGCATTGTTACTGGGGGGAAAGTGGTCTCCAGTTAATCTCCTGAAGCCCTTTCAGTTTCTTTAGTCTAGCTCACTTCACACATAAGACTAAATCCATAAAGACTTTGCCAGAGGTCAATCCTGGTTGCATATGAGTGAAAGTTGGCACAAAAAAAAAGGCACTTGGCACTATCAGGGCATAAGATAAAACCCATTCTGGGGAGAAAATAAGGTAAGGGGGGGGGGGGAGATCCTAGAGCTATACCCAACAGGCAACTACGGGGACTTGTACTTGAAGATAAATAGCTGTGGTATTGTTTGTCAGAGTGTAAATGATGGCAGCTCTCAAGGCCCCAAGAAGACCAGTTCCCACAGAGCAGTGAGGAATTGTGAAAGAGAAACACCAGATGCTGTCTGGCTGCTGTGTTCTACTGTGGCCCAGCATGTTTTTCAGGAGGGACCCATGTCAAGTGATGCTCACAGAAGTCACAAGGCTTAACCACCCACTGAGTCCAAGAGGACCCAGAATGTATTGCACACACATGTATACCTAAGTGTAGCACTCACCATTCAAGATTTCTACAACTCTCTAGTACCATAACAAAAGCTTTTGAGGTTATAGAACCTTAAAAAGAATCTCCAAGCATAACCAGTTAAAGGCAACTAGTTCAGTGACCATAGAAACATAGGACTTCAGACTGCTAAAATGGAAAACAACAAAATCAAAAGGCTGTCAAGCAAGGAGCTACTGTAACAGCAAAAGTATCTGTCTATGAGTGAACATGCACATGTGAGTGCAGTTGCCCAGAAAGGCCACAAGAGGAAGTCAGATTCTCTGGAGCTGGACTCACAAATGGCTGTGAAACACCTGATGTGGGTGGTGGGAACTGAACCCAAGTTCTCTAAATAGTAGTACACGTGCTTAACTGCTGAGCCATCTCTCTAGCCCCTGCTTGTCTTTAACATGGAAGATAAAAACCCAAAGTACACCTTTAAATTCTGTATTCTTAAATTCACGGCATGCTTAATCACTCTGTTATCTTGTGATAAATCTCCAAGTGCCATGTTATCTGCTGTCACCTCCGGTTTTACATGATCATCACACCGTTATTATGGCTTTATTTCCTTTGGAAGAGTTAGTGCAGATAATACAGAGCACAGAATGAGGAGCCAATGAGGGTCTTGCAGTTACAGGGAAACTATCATACTGCACTAGAAATCCTAGGTTAAGTTTAGCCTGTCATTTACTGATTGGGCAGTAGATAAAGGACCAAGGACTGCCACCTGTTTGTAAAGCAAACTCACTGCAACCTTGCCTGCATGTGCATTCCTTTTATGTATCTGTGCTTTCTGTAGCACAGTGATGGAGCTAAAGAGTTGGGATGGAAATCTTTACTATCTGGCTCACAACTGAAGTTTAACTATTCCTGGCTTAGGCCATCTTGCCCATCTTACTTGTAGCCTGTAATAGCCTGGGAGAGTCAGCAATACTGCATTTGTCACATTCCCTGAAGATGCAGTAAGCAACTCTCTCAAAAAAAGAAACAGTGGGTTTTTTTTGTTTTTTTTAAAGATTTATTTACTTATATGTACACAATGTTCTGCCTGCATGTATGCCTGCAAGCCTGAAGAGGACAACAAATCTTATTATAGATGGTTGTGAGCCATCATGTGGGTGCTGGGAATTGAACTCAGGACCTCTGCAAGAACAGCCAGCGCTATTAACATCTGAGCCGCCTTTCCAGCCAGAAAAAGTCTTACTCTAACCTGGCTATTTCTTCAAATAAACAAGTTATATCCTACAGAATCACACCACAGCACATGCTTAAGACACATGCACCCGTGAAAAAGAAAATGCACAAACCTTCTCTAAGTAAGGCAGGCAGGTAGACTGCAGTCTGAAGACTGGCTGGTCTTTCGTTCATTGGCTTAGGTACTTAAGATAAAAGTCCTGGCCAGGTCTCTTTTTATTCTCACATCAGGGACTAAAGAATATGACTAAAGATCTAGTTAACAGATGATATTACAGTATAAATTGCTTTGTGGTATTGTCTAGAGGGCTGGTGGCATGAAATGTAAAGTGGAAGAGATCCACCCAATGTCTGTGCACCGACCATCACTGGAGTTCTGTCCTATACTGACAGCCTTCCCCCGGCCACGCTCTGCAATGGTCCCAGTGCAGAGTGATGAGTATATGGCCCTTGCCCCCATAAAGCTTAGAATCTACAGGGAGATACATATAACAAGCACACATCATAGTTGTACGAGTTTAATCATAAACTCTGAAGAGGAACAGAATGTGGCCTTGTGTGATGACATAGTGGGCAGGAGGCAGGGACTTGAAGGATGAAGAAACCCTATGAGAGGAGAATGAACACCAACGGGCTTGACATGTACAAATTAGACACTCTACCACTATCCTTTCAGGAGAGAAGGCCCACAACGCACAGCTCATCTGAGCCGGCCTCACAACCAGGACATACACACCCAGGCCGGAGGGCTGGAGGTAACGGGGAAGAACCACTACTAGATAAAATCACCTAGGACGCAGTCACAGGAAGCCTCTCCTGGAGTTTCTGTCTGACTCTGTAGGGCAGGAAGCTAGTCATGATCCTGACTCATCTGTAGCTTATGGGCTTTGTCAGGACACAACTGTGTTGTCTTGGTTACCTCTGTACTCATGGGTGTGGCAGGATCTGGGTTAGAGCCACTTATGCACAAGCACCAACTCCAGCTCAAAGATGCTGAATTAGTTCTATAGGGACCAAATAGTAAAGAGAAGGCACCATCTTCCTCTACATGCAAACATGTCTGCCTATGGAAACCTGTCAAATGTAGACATTAATTTGCAAGGTGAGTAATAATGTCTTACAAAGTGAAAGCATCTTTCTTGCAAAGACAGCTGGATTCAGGTAAAAAGTCAAAAGGAGATCCACAAAAGTTTCAATGAACTTACAGGCTTCTTGAAGGAACTTCTCTCTCACGCTGTCCGAAGTACAGTTTTTACATGTTTTGATTGCAACAGCCAAAGCTGGATTCTCCTGTGTCAGGGAAATTACAGAATCACACATACATTCTCTGCAAAAGGTTCTCTGCATTAGTCAACACAAGCGCACACGAGCACACATACACACACACACACACACACCCTACCTACCTGTTTGTTTTGTAACTGTGTATTTGTGATCAGAAAGAACTAGAACTATAAAATCAGAGTTAAAAATGAAATTGCAGAGCAAAATGGACATGCATGTGAAATGCTACAGGCAAGTCATTTATGCATGTACCAGAAGCTATTAAACAGGTCATCTTCTAGGTTCCTGCTTTGGGTCAGTGAGAAACATCAATGATAAAGTCAGTTATGTCGCGTTGTGGTAGAACAGAATTTAAAAGACAAGAATAGACCAGGCAGGACACGGGGGACAAAGTAGTGGCAGCTGTATGAGGAACACTTCACTGAACAGATGACAAAGATCCCTAGAAAAGGGAGCCAGTCATAGTGAAGTGGAGAAGGTGCATGTTATTGAAGAACGGTGAACATTCAGCTCAAAGGTATTGTGCGTGGGAGTGGTGGACCAAGACAACCTCAGTAGAGTGTGTAAGAGTAGAAACACTGAGACAGGGGACCCTAGGATGGGGGTGGGGCGGCTGGGGAGCGTAGTCTCAAATTAGTAGCACTCCTGCAGCAACCTTTCCATGAGATCAAAAGCATGAGTAACAATGCCTAACTGAACCTGTGGATCTGACCCTTTGGGTTTGGAAGGGGCACTCTGGCTCCATCTGCTGCTGAGAGATGATATAAAAGGTGAGGTCAGGCATGGAGAGTGGTATAGGTGGCTATTGGTGGAACCTGGGTGAAAAGCTACAGCAGCCTGGGCAGTGGGCAGCAAAGGAGGTGGGAGGAGGACTGGGCATCTCAAATTTTCTCTCAAGGTTGGGTAAAAGTGGCCCTTGGTGTGCTAAGAGAGAGTAAACTCATGTTCTGACTAGAGAGACGAATAATGTGAAAGGAGAAACAGGAAGTTGACAGTCTCTAACAGTGATAAGCTAGGATGTTGCTGAGACAGCTGGAGCACCAGAGGCTTTAGGACAGTCTAATCCTTAGGACTATGCATCACTAGAAGAGACCACAGGTCAGGACCATGCTTTGTACCCCCACAGCAATGGGAAAGCCAAAGAAAGAAGAGAAAACAGCAAAGGAGACTAGGAAGGCATGATCCACAGAACAGGGAAAAAAAAAAAAACCCAAGGAAATGTTCTAAAAGTCAAAGTTTTTCTTCAACAACCTGAAAGAAAAGAGCTTAAGAGATAAAAGGAACACAAGGGAAGAAATGGTTTGTGGCTTTGAGTGAATCAAGGCACAGTATGGATGAGCATAGACAGACACTATATTTGTCACAACCATTTATTTACCTTACTGTAATATGCCTCACCTTCTGTCACTAAACAAAGCAGAAAAGAGAGGATGAAAGGAAAGTGGAGCCAGCAGGGCTTTACAGAGGCAAGTCACCTCCCATTGTCTCTACTAACTCCTGCCATCACCCTAGGAATCGTGGGTTAATAATCCAGGCAGAGGCACCCATCATGACAAAGACCACAGCATAATGATGCTGTGAATCCGTCTTTGAATTCTTATACAACCCCTTGCTTTTCAAGAACAGCTAGGTGTGACAAGAACTGTGCTGTCTGGTCTCCTCTAGGGTTGTGAGGTCTGTATCTGGTTTCCCCAGCCAGTTCTGAGCATGTCTCTGATCTCTGGAGGTTTCCCATTGGGCTATGCTATTTTCTTCTTGAGAATGACTGGTGAGACCCCCATCCAGCATGTTGAACATGAGTCAATAGTTGTTGAAAGAAATAGCAAGTGCCAAGCCATGCTGGTAGAACGGCAGCTTCTTAAAAAGTCAATCAGTCACCAAAGCATCAGTCACAAGCAGCAAGGACTAGACTCAGCCAAAGAAAACAGATGGCTTCATGCTTTTCAGTGTTGGGACACCAGGATTCAGCCTTCAGGTCGCTATTCCCAAGCACTTAGCTAATTTACCTTGTGCCTTATGACTTTATGACAGTGACATGCAGACATGCTGACCATCAACTGGCACCTTTTGGCCTTATTTTCTCTGTGAGCCTAGACTGACAGAGTAAAGCCACTCACTTTCTGAGTCCACTAAAAGGTACAAAGTTATCTTTAAGGTGGCATGATCTAAACAGAACTTTAGACAGCACACAATGAGGGTGAATTTTATGTGCCCCTTTTAATAGATCATGAGTCAATATTTTTCTGGATGTTTTTGTGGGGTTAATTTTTTGGGGGTTGGAGAGAGAGGGGAAGGAGGGAGGGAAGGAGGGAGGGAGGGAAGGAGGGAGGGAAAGAGGGAGGGAAAGAGGGAGGGAGGGAGGGAGGGAGGGAGGGAGGGAGGGAGGGAGGGAGGGAGGGAAGGATTGCTAAGATGGCAAGTGTGTGTCTCCACACCTGGGGCACCAATGAGTTAACACTGAGATTGTGGGCTGCCCTTTCCAATGTGTGGGTCTCATTCTGATCGCTCCCAAAAGAAGTGGTAAGTGAGATATTTACTTTTGCTATCTTCTTCTGGTCACTTTTGGACTTTGAACCACACCATCAGTTCTTCTAAGTTTGCTAACCTTAGGCTTGGGACTTGCCAGCTTCTATCATTACAGAAACTAATTCCTTAACTTGTATCTCTCTGCACAGACTCTATGTAGTGTCAAAGCTGTGCATTCCATTGCCTTCTCCATCTCTTAGATGAAAATCTAGTCATAGCTGTTTAAGGTCAGCATTTTGATGAAGCCTTTGAACTTAAAAAAAAAGATGTACTTATTTATTTATTTATTTATTTATTTATTTATTTAGTGTATGCGATGTTCTGTCTGCATGTATGCCTGCACACTAGAAGAGGGCACCAGATCTCATCATAAACAGTTGTGAGCCACCATGTGGGTGCTGGGAAATGAACTAGACTGAGGACATAGGATTGTCACACTTAAGATAGATTCATTTTTAAAAAGAAAATGATGGCTGGGGATGTAGCTCCAGAGTATAGCATTTTCCTAACATGCACAAGTTAGTAGATCCAAACTCTGATAACAGAAATGGAAAAAAAAAAAAAAAGGTGGTGTGAGAGATGACAGGAGGGAGTTCACCAACTCTGTGGTGTGAGCTAGGTGAGTAACAAGTCTGGAAATTTACTTATCAGGAGCTATAAAAGGGAAGGCAACCCATCTGATTTAGTAACAGAAATTCATGAGCCTCATTTTACCCTCAAAAGGCAGAGTTAAGAAAATGAAAATATAGATATAGTTTTTTTGAAACTGAAAACAGTAAGTTGGAAAAATGTATAATATAGTGTTGGAACATAGTCTAAGAATAGAGCTTTGTGAAAATTCTGAGTGCTTGTGAGAAAACTCCAAGAAAATAAGACAAGTCTTATGACTTCTGTTTCTTCAAATCACAGAATTGTTCTTGGAATGTGTTTCCGTGCTCCTCCCAGGTGTAGTAGACAAAGTTTACTTCAGCTATTGTTATTCATGTGCCTCTATGGGAAAACATGCTTTTGCCATGTGTGGCTTATCTTTGTGATTGAATACCTTACTCGTGTGATTCTTAACCCTCAGGGTAGAAAATTGTCTGATGCTCTGAATAAAGTTGGCTATTACATGAAAATTTAGTCAACCTAATTTTTAGGCCCAGCTCTCTCAGGCTCATACTGCCTATTAGAGCAGCAAACAATATATCATGTAATGCAGTTTAAGAACAGGGGAAAGGCATCAGAAGCAGAGCCTCCAACTACATGACAGGATGGACAAGGAGCATTCCCTTATGTCTGGGTAAGGGTACTTAAAAGGCAGCTATGGAGGCCCTATGGAAAAGCATCTCTCAAGTGACTATACCAAGGATGTTACAATAGCCAATTTCCTGTGCCGTCATGCTATTATCACAAGCAGCTCTGTACATCCATCAACATCCATTTTTAAAAAGTTTTTTCTTGCTCGGCGGTGGTGGCGCACGCCTTTAATCCCAGCATTTGGGAGGCAGAGGCAGGAGAACCTCTGTGAGTTCGAGACCCACCTGGTCTATGAGAGCTCGTTCCAAGACAGGCTCCAAAGCTACACAGGGGAACCCTGTCTCGAAAAACCAAACAAAACAACAAGCAAACAAACAACAACAAAAAAAACCCAAACCAAAACCCCAACCATCCAAACAAAAAAAAAAGTTTCCTCAGTAAGTATAGACTGTAATTCTAAACCATAATTTAAAAAATCATCATCTAAAAGGAAAAACCCATGAGGTACACTAGTGAAGACTGGGAGAGACTGGCTAGGAGCTGTGTGAGATAAAGAGTGCCTTGAAAAGCTGGTGGCTCAACAGCTGCTACATGAGGAAGCTCCACACACCAGTGCTCACAGCAGCACTCAATAACCAAACAGGAGAAACAACCTGTATGTTCAATAAGCAGGAATAGATAAATGGGGCTCACTGTTAATAGCACTTGCTGCTTTTCCAGGGGATCCAGCTTCAATTCCCAGCTCCCACATGGAAGCTTACAACCATCTGTAACTCTAGTTCCAGGGGATTTAACAACCTCTTTTGACCTCCTTAGGTACCAGTAAAGTACATAGTGTACATATTTACAGGCAGGCAAAACACTCATACACAAAAAAGAAATTATTTTTAAAAAGGATAAGTAAAAGGTCGTAAGAACATCTATATAAAGGAATATTATAAGGCAATGAAGAAGAGAAGACGGCATACTGTATAATTGCATTTATATGAAATATCCTCAACAGGGAAACTGAAAGGCAATCGAGAGGAAGAAAGGAGACAAGTGGCTGCCAGACAGGTGCCAGAGGCTAGAGAGGGATGTGTAGCATGAATTATATCTGCTGATAGGTTTCATGCGTTGGAGGTGAATAAAGAGTTCTAAAACTGACTGTGGTAAACTGCTGTACAATTATGTAAATACTAGTTTTATACACTTAAACAGTCAAAATCAGTCTTGATTTCTGATAGTCATAAGGACTTACTGGGCTCAGGTACACGCCTTGATGTACGTCTCCAAACTGACCTTCTCCAATGCAGCGTCCAAGTTCTATTCTTTCTCTCTGAATCTCATAATCCCTGGCTGCAAAACATGGCCCACACATAGATAAACTAGCACAGAGCTCCAGGTGTGGGCACAACAAATATATACATTCATCTAATTATCATTCATGAATACATTTTCATTTGCAGCATATCAACATAAAAATGTTTGAAAGAGTGGAACTCTCTTAAACATTGTCTTAAAGACTATCAGCAATCAGTTATGGTATTAGGGGAACTACCGAGCAATGAGTTTGACTGAAGGTAGATTTTTTTTTAGCCCATAATGTGCCTAGGAATCTCTTATTTATTTTGGTATCATATAATTTTCCAAATAATTGCTCTAAATATTGCATTATATGCTTAATTAATAATCGCTATTGGTAGGCCGGGTGGTAGCGGCACACACCTTTAATTCCAGCACTTGGGATGCAGAGACAGGCGGATCTTTGTGAGTTCGAGACCAGCCTGGTCTACAAGAGCTAGTTCCAGGACAGCCTCCAAAGCCCACAGAGAAACCCTGTCTTGAAAAACAAAACAAAACAAACAAACAAACAAAAATAGCTATTGGTTTAGGTATTAATATATGAAGGCTATAAAATTATTTACAGCAATTATTTTTTAAATAACTGAAATTTGTTAAGTATGGAAGCAACATTAAACTGTTATGAGTAAACTACATTTTAAAAGTTTAAGAGTTTTCCAATTCACTATATTCCTATCTCTAGATTATTTATAAAGCTAAAAGAGTTTAAAGAGGCAGTTTCTAGAAACTAATTTCAAAATTAGTTAACTCTTCTGAATTGAATATACCAGCACAAACAATTTGAGAGTATGTGTTCCAAAATCATGAGTTACAACAAATTCTTTAAGTAGGCTGCCGACGTACATGGAAATAAAGTATCTGCTAGGAACACAGAAAAACCAAACTCAGTTGGATTAGCTATTCCATCTTGGACTACTTCGTGCATGAGGACCCCATTCTGCATGTGTCCCAATTGCCAAAGGTTAACAGACTCCTAGGTCAGACAACTACATCTGACAGATCATTTAAGTTTTAGATAGCTTAGCTTTTCCTTCCTCTTTAAAATCGATTTAGCCAATAATTCCACAGATTTAACAGTATGAGTAAACCAATGACAAGTCTGAAAACATATTAACTGAAACTGAAACACCCGTATCACTCCATGGTGGCAATTGCAAGCAAATGCAGTTATGTCAAAGGATCCTGTTACCTTCATCTATTCCATAGCTTTCTGTATTGCAATTAAGAGAGAAAAAAAAAGTGGAAGACCTTGCTTAGAAATTGCTAGTAGCAATTAGGTTAACAACAACAAACTTGGAGAGTACATTCAATAGTGTTTACTTAACTATTTTAAGCACAGATAAATAAAAACAGAAACGAAACACACACAACAACCAAACATCTTTGGAAATTCTGGATAAGAAACATTTGTATTTCCTAGTCTATTATACAAAAACACAAATGTGGATTGTCTGAAGAAATGACTAGAGGCTAGTCAAAAGGCAAACACAAGTTGAACTGATTTTCCAAGTTGCTATTGGCAACCCAAACGTAAGTACCACATCTCAGCTCCTGCCCAGGCGTTGAAGGGACTCTTGAAAGGCAGGTGGACATGTGCAGGGAAATACAAGCTTCAGAGGCCTGCCTGTTTTCTCTTGGTTTTGGTAATGTCTCCCTAATGTATAGAAAATGCAAGGAGAACACTTTAAAAATATTCCACAAGAGTACAGAACCTACTTCTTTTGAAATACATGAAAACAGGTCATTTGAACTTCAATTAATTTTTTTTTCTAATTTTCTGAGACAGGGTTTCTCTGCCTGGTTGTCCTGGTCAAGTTAATTTTTAAGGCCTAGATGTGGAGTTCAATTACTTAATACTGACTGAATTGTACACCAGAGTGAAAATTCAAGGATTTATCCAATTTAATATATGGGGACAATATACTCCCAGGCAGGGTCTGGGGAATGCAGACTTTCCTCCACCAATAAGGTGCATAGTCACTGGGAAAAGAGTATGTTGACATTTCCAAACTGGAATAGGCCATCAAGGGGTCTGCGCTGTGCTGTCCTGCTCCCTGTAAGCTCCTCCCAGTGTGCTGCTTAGAGGGAGGGCTAGCCTCTACTGGTGAATGTCGATGAGGATAATTCAAGGAGAAAAGCAAGCCACTCGATGTGTGCGAATACACTTTTGAACTTAAAGGAATATACCACTCAATGTGACCATATGTACATTTGAACTCGAAATTATACTCATTTTCTATAAAGGCAAAATAATCAACGAGGGCTACATTATCAGAGAACCAGAAAATGAGATCACAAAAATTCCACAATTAATTGAATGAAATTATTTCTTGTATCTGCACTTCAGGCTCTGACCTTAAGCTAGGCACATAGACTTCTATCTAAAAGGTGAAAGACCGTTCTGTTAGGTGCTCAGATGACAGACGTGCTCTACAGCTTCTCATTGTGAGAAGCAGCCTACTCACTTGAGGGCATGGTGTATGTGTCTTCCTCATCAATGATCTCAGCGTAGTCATCTGTCTCTGGAAAAAAAAAAACAGACAGGTTGGGTGTACTCAAGTGCTTAGCCACTTGGCCTTTAACATAATCTCAAACAGCAGGGTTCTGTGCCCCAATCCCACATTGTACCAAAGTTCTCCACAGAACACTAGGAATCTGATTTGCTCATATGTAATTATGGAAAGAAAAGGGTCATTGTGGACCAATATATACACTTGTTTATCAGAAGGCAAACAGGCTAAAGGTCCTTGTGAAAATGAGCACTAAAACAAGCTATTTAAAATTAAAATAAAAAAGAAAAGAAAAAAAAAGAATTCAAAGGAAAGATCTGTTTAGCCTCGAGCTCTCCCTCAACACTACCAAATGCACATCTGAACACACTGGCCTGATGGGAGTTCATAAATGAGGTAAGCATCTTCAAAGTCTGGTTTGCTTCATTTATCCTGCAAGGCCAACTGTGAGCTTCTCCCCAGAGAATAGTGACCCAATTTCTGAGGAGACCACCCTGGGCTGATTTATGTCTGTCTGTCTCTCTCTTTCTCTCTCTCTCTCAATTTATCTTTTAGTGCCCTTTTACCCAGGCAAAAGATCTGATAAAAAGAGTAAGAACAAACAAACAGCATATTAAACAATTCTTTTTGAGATATGGTGGGTAAGTTCATGTTTTCACTAACTCCTTTTTGTAACAGGAGCAACTTAACCCACCATGATAATACCGGGAAAGAACACTTATGTGGAGAAAACTGTCACTGCTGAGCAATACCAGTTCTGTGAAGGCAGCTAAGTGGATTTGTCAAGCTCTCAGAGAGCTGAACGTGACACCCACACTACTGAACCCCAAGGGCTACAAAGCGCACCACTTTCACGCACTGCTGAGATCAAGAGCATACAAGTGAAAGGAGCTCCAGGAAGCACTCTTCCCAGTGGTGAGGACACTAGCCACTGCATGCACTACAACAGGGCAATCACTGCCACCAAACCTCTGAAGCTGTGGTTCTCAGCCTGTGATCATCACCCCACAGGGTCACACATCAAACTTTTATATTACAATCATAACTAGAGTAAAATTAGTTATGAATGGCTGGGGCTCACCACAACATGAAGGACTGTATTAAAGGGTTGAAGCATTAAGAAGGTTGAGAACCACTGCTCTAAAGGAAAGAATGTAGTTCTGAGTATATATGAATGTACAGTCAGCACTAAAAGAGCTTAAAAGTTAAAAAACAAACAAACAAACAAAAAACTCTGGCTGGGTTTTTCCCCATCAACAAATCAAATCTCCTAAGTCCTTGAGATGGGTAAGTATACTGTTTCCATATATTTATAAGCATTGTATATACAGAATTAAAAGCAAAATTTTGCTTTGTTTTTCTAAGACAGGGTTTCTCTGTGTACTACCATGGCTGTCCTGGAACTCACTTTGTAAACCAGGCTGGCTTCAAACTCATGTAAATCCACCTGCCTCTGCTGGGATTAAAGGCATGCACCACCACACCCAGCCTTTTAAAAACCTTTATTTATTTATTTTTTTCAAGACAAGGTTTCTCTATGTAGCCTTGGCTGTCCCGGAACTCTCTCTCTGTAGACAAGGCTGGCCTTAAACTCAGAAATCTGCCTGCCTCTACCTCTGCCTCCCGAGTGCCAGGATTAAAGGCTTGCACCACCACTGCCCAGCTTAATTTAATTTTTAAAATGTTATGTGTATGGATGTTTTGCCTGCATGTATGTCTGTGTATCATATACATGTCTGGCACTCATAGAGGCTAGAAAAGGGCATCACATCCTGGAATTGTAGTTACAAATGGTTGTGAGCCAATATTTAAGTGCTGGAAATCGAAGCTATCCTCTGGAAGAGTAGCCAGTATTAATTTCTGAGCCATATCTACAGACCCTAAAACAAAGTTATAATGAACCTGAAATGTCACCTTCTCCTCTTGCCCCCCTTCCTGGGTTCTCAGAGATCTGGCACCTTGAAGGACTGCTACTCTTTGCACTTATGTAAAACAGCCTAGATAAGAAACACAAACGAGAGGGTGGAGTAACCATGACCAAGTGGAGGAGTCTACTCCAACAGCTGAGACTATAGAAGCAACTCAGAGTGGTCTCTGCCAATTGCTTTCTTTATTCTCAAAATGTAGTAGACTTTATCACCACACCACCTATAAAATGAATGCACCAAGGCCACTGCAGCACAACATCCCGAAGAGCTGAAGATCACAGCAAGCTCATTCCAAAGCCAATCCTCTCAGGTAACTACAGTCTATGGTCTGAATGAAGGATGTGAAACAGAAGATGATTCTAATGTCCGTGACCTCAACTGAGTCTTATTATGTCCTAAAGCTCTCATGGGATCAGATTACAGTTAGTTTTGGCTTCTGCTACCATGCCTTGCTTCAAAATTTTCCTCAAATTATCCCTATTCCTTGTTCTTAGTTCCCTAATGTCATCCTTTAAGTACTGCATTAGTTTGCCCCCTATCAGAACAGGGCCTACTGGAGCAGTATCCCCATGTGTCCGCTTCTCCTCAGTATGTTCAGCACCTAGCACAGTGCCTAGCACAAGGAGCTATACGCAAGCAATGAGGATGGATAGATGGCGGCAACACACAGTGAGGACAGCGACACCGGGACTAAGGAACTGGTTAAGGGGAGGGCAGACAACACGCAGCAGAGCACTCTACACCATCAGTTTACCTGATTATGTATGCCACAGCCACACCTTCTGTGTACAAGAGAGTAGCGTGCACAAATGGGGTTACGAGGACAGCAGGCGACGGTAACAGGCACTGAGAAATGGCAGGCACTCCTGATGCTGCTGTTTATGAGAGCTATCTAAGGACCTGAAGGTAAGGAGTTCTTGTCTCCAGACCCTTTCAGTCAGTCTTCACTCAACTCAAGCCCCTCCAAGACAAGCTTATAAAATCCCCAGGAGATACCAAACTTGAAACAATTCAGAAGGCAAGAAATGGAAATGGCTTATCTATAGCAGACTAACATCAATATGAATTTTGGAAAATAATATTGCCTATCTTTCAGTTAGTCCCAAAATCACAAGAGCCTGTATATGCCAGGTATAGTGGCTCACTCCTGAAATCTCAGCAATTAGCAAGTTAAGGCAGTAGGGTCATTTAAGAATTTGAGTGTCGGGGGCTGGAGAGATGGCTCAGAGGTTAAGAGCACTGACTGCTCTTCCAGAGGTCTTGAGTTCAATTCCCAGCAACCACATGGTGGCTGACAACCATCTACAATTCAATCTGGTGTATATGTAATAAATAAATAAATCTTAAAAAAAAAAGAATTTGAGTGTCACACCTCTTCTCAAAAACCCCAAAACAGAAAAGATTTTGTTTATTTCCTAAAAAGTTATTGAGTTATATGCAAAATCTATGGAAACCTATGAGAGCTGCATGGTACTTTATGGATTGGTTTACACAGAGCATACTGCAAGAGCATAAACCAGGCAAAGTCTGTATCTTTAGTGATTGTGGAACAGTGTGATACTGGTTACACATGGTCAAGATCCCTAGGCAGCTGTGGAGGGAGAGCTGGACCCACATTTCCACTGAGATGACTGAGACAAGGTGCCTGATCTGACAGATGCTGGACAGTACTGTGAGTAGTCGCACTATCAACCTTCAGCAGAATCTTGTTCTCACACACAGACTGAGGAGGAGGGTGGGCCTCAACATGGCCCTGTGTCACAAAGCCTTGGCTCTAAGATGTCATATTATCAGCTTTTATTCTCTTTCAAAGTGTTTGGAGCCAGATGTGGTACCTCTAATTCCAGCATTTGGGAAGAAGAGGCAAGGGGATTCTCTGTGAATTCTAGGCCAGTTTGGTCTACGAAGTAGGTTCCAGGACAGCCAGGGCTACATAAAGCAGAGACCTTGTTTCAAAAAAAACAAAATAAAAACAACAAAAAGTATTTGGAACTATCCTTGTGAGATCAGGCAACCCTCTGCTTTAAGGCTATTAAAATACATGTTTGGGGACACTCAAGTTCAGAACTGTGACCTGGCAGACAATTTTGGGATTACCTGCCAAGACCACAACTCTGGCTAACTCAGTACCAGGAAACGTAAGTGTGAGGAAAGTAAACATAAATGCTTGCAATCACCCATCTGTGGTAACCACTGCTTGTCTATAGGTATCTGCATCTGTGCCTGGCAGTAATCCCCACAATGACCACTGGAGCTTTTTCTCCTGGGGAGGCAGGGTAAGCAAGCTTGTAACAGGATGAGAAAGTGAAGAAGGCCAACCCTGGAGCCCAAGGCCTACCCTTGGTCTCTGTCTGCTGGTTAATGTCTCTATCTGTGAATTGTGGGGACTGATGAGGCGCAGGAGGGCTGGCAGATAATCTAGAATCCCGGGAAACACTAAACGGAGCAGGTGCTGATACCTGACATCACAGAGCACCCCAGAAGTAAAGCTCCACAATGGCTTCAAACACCACCAGGAACATACCCTTTTCTGGAGTTAGTTACAAGCTCTCTGCAGGCTTACATCTCCATCTCAGACACATAGGAGTAACAATCTCCACTGAAGGTATTTTGTCACTCAACCATAAGGAAAAGTACAAATTTCCCTCTACTTAAACTTGTAAAACTTAATCTTCTGGAATAAATATACATTTTGTGCAGGAACAACACAAAGCAGACGAGAACCCTGACACTAAACGTAATTTAAAAATATTGTCATACATGGATAAAACAGTCATCATTCCTATTGTTAGTACTTCCCTAATTATCTCTGTTGAATGATTGTTAAAGATCACAGTCTTTCCTTTAAAATACCTCACTTATAAATTAAGTTATTGTACATGCACCACAGGATAATCTCACAGCAGTAACACAAATGTGAAAATAAATATTACCGTCCCCACTAATTTCATCTGCAGATCCAGGTGGCATGCAAAGAAAGGAGAAGTAGAAAACAGAGGGTAGGAGAGACAGGAAGGAAGGAGAGAAGAGAAGGAAACACACTATTAAAATGACAAGCAAATCAAAGCTTAAGAAAATAACAAAATCACCCCAAGGTTCATTCACAAGATAACAAAAATTGTACTAGCATGTTTACTGGAGTTGAAGCCCATTAAGCCAAATTTTAAGCTGCCAACAGATTGTATACAGTTACACAGAAGAACAGCAGAGCTTAATTACTTTCTACCACACTAGACCAAAGTAACTTGATTGCCTTTCATTGTTAAATGTTAAACAGGCTTCTACTTTCCTTAAAGACCATTTGTATCTTTTAGAAACAAGTGATAAGAATCTCATCATTACCATGTAAGTAAAAGGGTCACCAGGAGATATACCTGTGACTCCTATCTCAATGAGGTAGTAGATCTAAGTGTCATGATAGATGCAGGCCATGCCCACACCACCATGATGAAGGGCAAGTGTAGTTCTCAAGGCTCTGATGACAATTCAGCCTCCCATTTGAATAAATACAAAACTACTAATTTTCAGACATTTTTGAAAAAGTATTGTTTTAGTAATTACAACAAGATCACTGCTTCTGCAAATGGCACAGCTGCCTCATCTATGCTGCATTCCTGAGCATCTGCCTCCTACAACTCAGAATGCAGATACCCAGGAATCATATGGATCATGTCCCACACGCTACATTAGCAAATTCCTAAAGCCAGAAACAGGAAGACAGCCCTGCAGGAAAACAAGACAACAGAAATGTCACCAGGAAGTCACTTCTTGCCTTGTCATGCATTTAAAAGCCAGCAAATGGGCAACAGATCATCTAGTTAAGACAGTGGCCCAAACTGTGTCAATTATGAGACACAAAATCTGTCCCCCAAGTTATCACTTCTGGACAGTGAACAGCACACTGATATTCAGCATGGCTATAAAATGCTTGTGACAATCTAGAAGCATCTAGCTAAAGTTAGCTTTGTGAGGTGCCTTGGCTGATAGGAAAGCCTGTGCGAGTGCAGTGCAGTGCAGTACCGGTTGGAGAAGGTTCAAGGGAACAGAAGACCAAAGGGAGAAAGCGCCTAGCTTTCTTAACTTTATGTTGGCAGTGATTGACTCCTTTACAAAGAGGCAAGAAAAGAAAGAGAAAAACAGAAGTAAATTATTTCAATACAAAAAAAAAAAAAAAACCCCAACCAGCTAATTTTAAAGCTACACGTATAAAAACAAAGACAAAATTGAAATTAGACCACTGGCAAACCTTATTTCTTACTAGTATTGATTTGTAGTTAAAAAAGAATTATTTGTTTTTACTAAAGATTAACACTAAATACAAAAATAACAAATGATAAACAGCTAGGAACTTTTCCAGGTCAGTCAAGTAACAAATAACACAACTACAACAAAATTAAAAGAAAAAAACCCAACAATAACAAAAAACAAAGACTAATAGCTTAAGGATCAAAGACAATCTGTGTTTGTTTTGTGAACATTTAACATCTGTCCATAAAAATCTTAGAAAACTGTAAGAGCTTTATGAGCAATTATAGTACTCATGATCTGGAGTGTCTTAACATAAACTGGTGAGGGGGACAACCAATTACAGAAGGTGCAAACTGCCACCTTATATCCATTTGTTTGCCCATCCAAGTGCTTAAAACTTATTCGAGGGACTCCCCCTCTCTGTAAAACAGTGATGACACAGAGAAGCTACAGTATAGCAGTAGCACATATCAGAATCAAACCTTTAAGATCTATCAGACAGTGTGTGACAGTAGACAGATGCACAGGGTGCCATCAGTAATGGCAACTTGATGTGCCTGCCCATGGAGAATGAAGGTTGAGATAGTGTGGTCGTCAAGAAAACAATGAACACAGTTGTGCCCACACATAAAGAAGAGAAATGAGCTATCTCACTTCATAGGCTTCCTGGGAGCAGCCAAACATCAACAACAATGGAGAATGAGGAAGTAAACAGGGGAAGTACAGGAGGTGGGAACACAAACAGGGTCTGCAATGCACAGAACTGAAATGAGAGGCAGAGGACCAACAGAGAGAGGGAAACCACTTAGGGAATTGTGGAGGCTCAGGCACAGCTCTGCTCAGGCTTGTTGACTTCTAAGAGGAGGAGGAGCCAGGCAAGCGACATACTAAATTTGGGCTTAAGAGAACAAGAGAGGAGGTGGTGGTGGTGATGCACACCTTTAATGCCAGCATCTGGGAGGCAGAGGTTGGAGGATTTTTGTGAGTTCAAGGTCAACCTGGTCTACAAAGTGAGTTCCAGGACAGCCAAAGCTGTCACAGAGAAACCCTGTCTCAAAAAACAAAAAAACCAGCAAACACAACAAACCCCCTCCCAAAAAAATGGAGAAAGGGAGGGAAAGGGAAAGGAATACAGAAAGAACAATCGAGAGGCACAAGCTTAATTAAGCCATAAAAGGACACAGATCCCACAAGAATGGTACAAAGACTGAGGGCAAGGAGCTCAAAGACTCAGCACTGGGTCCTTGGAATAAAGAGTGGCCAGCGAGTGAGGCATCTAGCAGCCAAGAGGCACTGAGCTCTCAAGAGGATCCTGCTGGGGTTGGAGAAAGGAGGAGCCTGGGTGGGATGTCAGACTGTCCTAGTTTCATTTCTGTTATTGTGATAAAATATCCCTATGAAAGGCAATTTAGAGTAAAAGGTTTATTTTATCTCACAATTCCAGGTTACAGTCCATCACTGGAGGAAGTCAAGGCAGGAACCACTTGGGTAATACTCATATCCAGAGTCAAGAGCAAACACACAATGAACTTATGCATGCTCATACTCATTTCTGTCCAATTCAAGACAAATCTAGAAAATGCTGCTGCCACAATGGGCTTGTCTTCTCACTCCAATGAACATAATTCATACAGTTTTCCACAGAATGCCACAGGCCAACTTGATATAGATAATCTTTCTTTAAGACTTGCTTTCTAGGTGATTTCACATTGTATCAGGTGGACAAATCAAATTAACCATCACAGTCAGGGTGTGGTGATGCATTCCGGAGACAGAGTCAGGAGGGTAGCTGTGAGCTCCAGGCCAGCCAGAGTTACATAGTGAAACCCTGTCTCTAAAAGCAAACAACAAATCAAACTGGCACATGTATTAAAGCTGTTTTCCCATATCTCAAGTAGGTAAACTCTGAGTTTGTAATGTAAATTATTCCAACCAAATAAAGGAAGTATTGGCAAAAAAATTTACACACTGCCCCTTTGTGGCCAAGGCATGCATGCCAACAGCTTCCAACACTAGGTGAGCCATTCAGAGGACAGCATTACAGAGGACATATTTGAACTGTCTAGGGCTCCAACCCACTGGCCAATTTCCATTCATTCATTCATTCACTCATTCGTTCGTTCATTTGTTTGTTTATTTATCTATTTTTGGTGACAGGGTCTCATATGTGACACTGATGGCCTCTAACTTGCTATGTAGTAAGATGACCATGTGCATAAGCACACCAGTAAACAGCATCAAACATGGTTTCTGCTTGAGCTACTGCTCTAACATCCCCTGGTGATGGACTGCAACGAGTAAGCATAAGCCAAATAAACCCTTTCTTACCCTAAACTGCTTGTATTCAGGGTTTTATTATAGTAATAGAATTAAAACTAGAGCATTACAAACAAACAACAGGAGGGCCTGGCTGACAGACAGAAGAGGCAGGGAAGAAACTGAACAAGGATGTCCTGTTTCACTCTTGTCTGAAGAAAACCAACAGGTGACATGGTTTACACATTTGCTTTGGAATAATAACAGGGCTTCAGGCATGCATAAGAGCTGGAGGCAAAAGTGAAATGAAGATGGATATAAACTTCTGGCTGCTGAATCTGGGTGATGAGTTATGTGGAAAATGTTTCAAACTCTGTCCTCTCTCTTTTGTAGACACTTGACACATACCATAATAAAATACTTAAAGACATTCCTTAAATCAAAACACACCATGGAATTTGATACTATCTATCTACCGCTATGGCTTATCTTGAATCACAACGTCTGAATGTAACCTATAACGGTATTATCAACTGAGAAGCTCTCAGGTGGGATTCCTTTCAGGGTTGTCCTGTTCTTCCATGGTAGCAGTATTTGTTTGATAGTGAGATGATGCTTAGGCATCTTGCAATCTATACTGAAGTTTATTAATTACTGTTTTCATCAGTTTAGTCAGGAGGTTAAGGTTTGTTGAGTCAAGAATACTTAAATTGTACTGCCTACTCTAAAATACACACTTTTTACTTTTTTATAGAGACAAAAATGCATTTTTGTTTAAAATCCTCTGGTATACTGATTCATTTTTCTCTTGGTATGAAGGTTGTTGGGGAAGACAAGAAACAAACCCCACAAGGCTGAAGAGGCAGCCCACAAGGACTACTTATCTAAAAAAGGTCCTCACTGTCTAGCCTTTTGAAAGGGAAAGTGACTCAGGTCATCCAATGCTCGGCCTGCCTATCAGTCCTTCTGTACCACCTCCCACCTAGGAAAGCACGAGCTCAATGCCAGGGGAAGGAGGAGTCCTCATCTCTGCCCTCACACAGAACACTATTTCCCAACCTACTATGTTGATTTCTTTGCTTCTGACCTTTGAGTGCCTGAGACCCTTCAGGAACCACAGAGGAAAGCAATGTGATTAAGCACCACCTCAGATGTCACTAGGGCTGAATTCTAACAAGATGGGGGAATGAACAAGAAGCAACGTGGGTAGGCTGTTCTCATAACTCCTGCCCTTACCTGTGCACACTATCACCAGCCAGAGTGGCTCTAGATGCCAGAGACATAGAAGCTTGTTTATAGTTCCTCCTAAATTAGCCTGCCAGGTCAGAACATTTTTATTGTGACCACTGTGGCTAGAATAATTCCTATTTTTTCGGGTTCTCACAAGAGCTTGGATGGGATAACAGCTAATGCCTATCACTCTGCACGAATCACCAGTAATACATCATAAAGCACATAATCAAAAGCTTCATGATGAACTTTTCCCAAACAATACAAGGGACTGAACATAAGGGCTTGCACATGCCAGGTAAGCGTTCTATTACTAAATTACACACCCAGCTTAAACAGACAAACAAACAGGCTCACTTAGGCTTCTTGTAGAGGCTGGCCTCAAACTTGTAATCCTTCTGCCTCAACAACCCCCACATATAAAAAAATGGGATTATAGATGTGTGCCACCACATCTGGCTCCCAAATAAACTTCTTTTGTACTTTTGCTTGTTTCAATTTCTTCGAGATAAGAGTTTCTCTGAGTGGCCCTAGCTGTCCTGAAACTCACTCTGTTGACCAGGCTGGCCTTAAAGTCAGAGATCCACCTGCCTTTGCTTCCCAAGTACTGGCATTAAAGGTGTGTGCCACCAGGCCTGACTCAAATGAAATTATGTACTAATTAGCAATATTCTAAAGTTAGGGAAAGGCCCCCATACCCTATACCTTTAAATTATGAATAGTGTTTAAATCAAGCATTCAAAGCCATGTGATGCATGCCTGCAATTCCAACACTTGGGAGGTTCAAGAAGAAGGATCACAGTGAGTTCCAAGCCAGGCTGGGCTATATAGTAAAATCAATCAAGCCTAGGATTTAGAATAAGACCCCATCTCAAGGTGCTGGGGGAGGAGGGGTTGGCACCAGAAGAGGTAACTTTGGAAAGCTTGGCACTGTCACAATGGAAACTAGATGGTAAAATTAGGCACAAGTAGCTCTTTCAACCTGAAAAAAGGGCAGACTTTTTAATTCGAATAGAAAAGTCAGTACTTTATTATTACTGCTAAACGGGGAAATTTTCTACAGTGTAGTCACATGCTAAAATATTACTCCCCTGCACACATCAAGATTTTGCAATGATCAATGTTTCTAATTAAAAGAGAATGAGTTCTTAGAATTCAGGGTCTGGGCTTCCAGCAGACTCTCTATTACTCACTGCTACATGAACCTGACCAAGCCACTTAAATTCCTTAAGCATGTATATAAGTACTAGTATTTGCTGAGTAGCAGCAGAGCAATCAATGAACAATAGACCCAGTATGCAAGAGTGGACAGGGAGAGAGATGCGGGGATGATTACAGACTCCCAGTCTGGAACTTCTCAGACCTGTACAGATCACAACCACTCAAGCATGTTTGAGATGTTCTAGGATTTGAAATGAAGCAGGCTGATACAAACATTTATTTTGCTAAATGTTTTCTTGGTAGTTAGAATAAGTTTCAGTCACCAACTCAATATACCTAGTATCCTATATAAATAGAATTATGCTTTATGAAATATAATCTGTTTTAAAATTTTTACATATACAATAGCACTTTTTAAAAGTCTTCTCAAAGTAGTACAGAAGGCTAAACAGAAAGAAATAAAAAAATACTTCTTCCAGATAAAAAGGACCACTGCAGTACTTTCTATAGATATATAAAAGAGAAAAATTGTAATCTATAGTCTGATTTTGCATGGCCCAAATCCTACAAAAGGGCCACAGAGTAAAACAATGGCAACCATAATGGACTTCTATTTACATTTGGGCTCAATCAAGGGCCTAATTATTCTTAGAAAATTTAAAAAACAAAACAACAAAACCCATCAAACACAGTTACGTCTTGAAAACACTTGAAATCAGCTTTACTCTATGATCTGAAAAATGTCCTCACACCAACACTGTTCCCACAGCAACCCGAGCCCAAGGGCCACATTCACTCAAGTCAGGGCCCATTCATAGATCCCTGTGAGTAGCCTGGGAAACTGGTCTTATAGACAGGGCCGATGGGCTACCTAAGCTCACAAGAGGCATAAAAACCAATGGTTAGTCTTTTTAAAAAAAATCTGCTCAACTTTAAGAATAATATGTCTAGGGAAAAATATTAGTCCAGTAAGTATCTTTGTGAAACTCTGCCAATCTAATTTTTAAAGAGAAATAGTTGAAATTTCAAAGGAAAATCTGCCAAAAAGATGCTAGAGAGTATCCAACCTAGGACACCCCAAGCATTTGCATTCAGTGCACCTGGTAAGGCATGTCTCAGGCAAAGGAGACAGGGTGTAGCAGGAAAGTAGATATACAGACCACAACACACTCCACTGGTCTGCACAAATCAGGGTCACTATGGCAGAAGATACAGAAGGTCACAGGCCACGCAAAGTGCAGAGTTAGCAGCTCACTCCACATGGAAAACAAGCAGTAAAGTCAAGAAATCATCTTGGGATCTGGTTATAGCACAGCACTGTCAGCTAGGTATCACATTAACAAAAACATTCCCAGAGAGTCTGTGTACAGGCTCCAGGGTAGGTGGGTACTGGTCTGTGAAGACAGGATTTACAAATCTGAATTTGCCTGGAAGCAAGCACTAGATGATGTGATCAACAGGGCTAAGAACACCAGCTCGAGGGATGGTCAAGAACCAAAGTGCTGCCTATCAGCTTTCAGGGATGGAAAGATGGCTGTGTGAGGAAGGACAGAACAAGATAATGGAACACCTCCAGCAGAGCTACACAGGAGAGAGTGACCACAGTCCCTAGGGTAGTGTGCACGAGAAGCAACATAGCTGAGGGAAAAGTGGGGAGAGGAAAGGCAGGCTGAGGTCAGGAATGGCATGGACAGCCGAGCTAGACAGTTTGACAGAATCTGAGTACCATCTGGTAGGCACAAAACTTTTATTGGTAATTTTCTTTTGAAAGAAGTAACTTAGAGAAGAGAACACAATTCTTTCTGAGACACCCGAGGAGAATAAAACAAAGGCAGAACCCTAAGAAATTAAAATGGAGTTTGAAATAAAACTCAAATTTGCATAGTGACTCTATTTTTGCTCATTGTATAACTTCAGCACATTGTGTATCCTCTTGGACTTTAGTTTCCTCATCTGTATACTGAGAAAGGATCTCAGCAGTCTGTTAGGAGGATTTCATGAGTTAATTCATAGAAAAGAACATAGATCATAAAGCAAAGTAGAACACAATAGTGCTCATTAAAATCTAGCCACTCAGGCATGGCAACACATACCAATAATCCTAGCATTTAGGGGGCTCAGTAGAACATCAAGAACTTTAGTATAGCCTGGGCTACAAAGTAAGATTTGGTTTCAAAACAAACAAAAGGCCAACTTTTTCTTTCTTGGAGGGGTGTTAAAGGGGAGGGCGGCTGGCTAGAAGTAAAATGTAGAGCTTTGACACTGACAAAGTTGAAGGAAAGTGAGGCTCTACCCTGAAGAATGAGATATAAGGGCCTAGGACCCCCAAAGGTAAACAGCAGAGGAAGTCTGAGCTCACTCTTGTGTCTGGGCAACTATGGGGATTGTGGCAAACAGTCACCAGTACCTAAGCTTCACCTGCAGCTGCCTTTCCACAGGGCATACACATTTCAGTACCTGAATGATTAGGTAGCACTCAAACCTCATCCATCTATCCTATCCTATCCTACAGACCACACTGAGGCCGAGGGGCTGCTTCTTTCCTCTAGACTCCTGCTAAGGCCTGTGAGCCTTTCCCCTTTCACCACATTAAAAACTGTGAGGGCCTATGAGTCCACAGAATCAATGCTATACCTACCACAAGCTGAGTAAGAACTGCATAAAGAGCTGAGGACACCCAGTAACCCTTCTAGAAGTCTGGGTTTCTTCCTAAGTCATGGCTTAGGCTCTCAAATGACTGACATGTCCTGGAGAACATGTAGTAGCCCTGACACTGTCCAGTGAGACCAAATCCAGAAACAAGAGCTTCTTTGCACTATGCCAGGAAGTAGCTGTTGGCTCTAGGCCATCAGAGCACAACAGTGTTGTGCACTAACAGAGTGACTTTGCATGGACTGTATCACAAATGCAAACACCTGCGGAGTAAAGGATTGTGGGATGTTTGTGAACAAGGAAGAGAACAAACAGATACATTATTAGTATGTTGTACACCAAAAGAAGATCCAGAAACAACTGGAAAAAAATATAAAACTAAACTTCAAGAAAAACTGACTCCAAACAAACAGACAGGAATTGAGTCTCATCTGTCACATATTGAATATACCAGAAAGTATGATTTTAGAACTTTGTGTTCACAGGCATAGCTGAGAACAGATGGTATGTGGTAATGTACACATTATGTACATGTAAGACAGTAGGGTATATGTATGTTAAGGTAAACAGTTGAGGCCCTTGGAAGGTGCCTTTTTCTGCCAATCCTTAAAACTGTCCTATCCTCCACATTTTTAGATAAGGAAAAAAGGGCATATATACTTTGAAAATATAACAAAAAAGACACCACACCAACAAATAGTTAAGATAATGCTTATGCAGTACTCTGTATCAAATAACCATTATGTTAACTGTGAAAGACAAAACCATTTTAAAAAAATCACAAATTTTGAACTTCAAACACACAATACAAAGTATATTTTATTAAATCCTGCTGAACTAATTATAAAGATTAATTATAAAAACAAATTTAAAAGTTAAGGTTTTCACTCTAAACACAACATGACATCAAAAAATCTGAAGCCCTACGTATCCTGGTCACATGCATCATCTGCAATAAAGTATATATGGATAGCTACTTCAGGGTAGTAAAACCACACAGATGCTGTATGTTCTAAGCAGATGAACTGGACACAGACTGTCATCTGAAACATCCTCCCTGCAGTTTTCCCTTCGAGGTCTCTGACTGAAGATCCTTACCTGACACAGAGACCGCATGTGTCCGCATGCCTTGTTTTTCACTGTTGGCCAACCTGCAACAGAGCAGACCAAGGGTAAATGCTGTCCTTTCCAGGGCAAAAACACCTGTCCCTGTCAAACAGGCAACTGCATCTACCTCAGTTTACAAGGCCAGCATCGTTCCTGAGAGATTAAGTTCTAGAAGGTTTTTTTTTTTTTTTATTGTATTCTACTTTTTAAGATACTGAGTATGGACAGGCTGAGTCAATACTTTTAAGAGCAGAAATTAAAACAGACGACTGGGGTAAGGACTTGTTTGACCCATTTGAGGCTCTGGGATTCATCCCAGCATCACAAAAAAGTAAATTAATTAATTAATCAATCTTTTAAAGAGAGAGAGAGAGAAAAAGGCCACAGAAGTACCTAGAGAAAGCTGTTCACAAAGGTGGCGTAAAGCTATATAATTCTATGTAATATGTAATATAAAAGCTATGTAAGTTTTCTGCTTAAATGCTAGACTGTAAAAAACTGCTCAAACGTTACAAAGAACCACCATGCAACTAGAACTGAATTTTGCTCTTTAAAACCTAATGACAGAGAAACCCTGTCTAGAGAAAACTAAACAAACAAACAATAACAACAACAACAACAACAAAAAAAACTAAACTGAGGGTCAGGAAGATAGTTTAGCAGGTAAAGGCTTTTGTCACCAAGCCTGATGATCTGAGTTTCTCCCGGGGACTCACAAGGTGGGAGGACAGAATGGATTCTTACAATTTGTCTTCTGATTGATACAGGTGCACCAGGGCATGTGTATGCTCAGATGTATGCATGTAAGTATATATGTGTGTATGTACATACATACATATGTACATGCACACATACTAATGAATGTAAAAAATAAAAATTTAAGACAGTAGCATTTTAACCTTTTAAAATTTATAGCATATAAAAATTAAAACATACATGTATATATTGCTATTATTAACACATTTAAATAAAATTTTTAAAATAATTTATTTAATTTTATGTGTATTGGTGCTTTGCCTGAGAGTATCAGATCCTGGAGTTATAGACAGTTACTGTGAGCTGCCATGTGGGTGCTAGGAATTGAACCCATGTCCTCTGGAAGAGCAGCCTGTGCTCTTAACCAGAGTCATCTCTCCAGCCCTGAAATAAAAAAATTTAATGACATTTAAAACAATACAAACATAGTCTAAAATATTTGGAAGCACCAAACAACAACAAAGGACTCCCACACACAGGGGGTGGCTCAGCAGGCGAAGACGCTGGCACTGCAAGTCTGGCAGCCGCCTTTGGTCCCTGAAACCTCCGTAAAGTGAAAGGAGAGAGAACTGACGTCACAAAGTTCTCCTCTGATCTCCACGCTGGTGCTGTGTGACATATGTCCAGACACACACATCATGTGGGCACGTGTACTCACATACAAATAATAATACATATTTTAAAACTAGGAGTTCTACCTTTGTCAGCTGTTTTCTTGCTTTTGATTCATAAGGAAAACCTCTTCCTACTCTATAAGCATTAACTACATTTAAGTACCAAATGGAAAATTTCCCCAGAATACATGATTTATACCAGAAAAATATCAGAACTTAACATAGCATCTCCTTTTTGCAACCACAAATATGAAACTGTATAACTTCCACAAAAGTCACATAATTTATTGTCTTTTACTAAATTCTGCAAATACTGAAGCTACTATGTACCAGATCAGAGGTTTCTCTTGTACTGCATCTACAGGCTACACTGTACGTCAACTCCAATCACTAGCCCCTTTCGTACTCCACAGTCAGAACAGCAGCTCTCTCACCTGCCTGCCTCCTGTCACTACTGTGGTGAGTACCATGTAATAATCTGGCTACTGTGAAGTCTGTAGAAACCCTATCCTCTTAATGTCTGATGAATTGATTCGGTTTTGTGTGGTGTGTGCTAATGACTTTTAACCCATGCCTCCTCTGCTCACATTTATACTCCTGTTTATAATTCTTAAATGGCCAGATACAGCACTTACTGGGTAGGCTTGATAGGCAGTGCAAATTGTGAGGAACAGGGGAGGAACGCCAGGAGGAAGGTAAAGCACACTATCAGATGCATTTAGCAAAGAGAGGTGGAGAATGTGGCTACAAAGAGGACACAAGACAGAACAAAGACAAGCCCTCCTTGTCCTAGGCTTTCACATCTCCATTGCTTAAGTATCTGAGAATTAGCAGCTTCTACCTAGCAGTAGCCTGTTTGTCTAAATGGTGAGAGTTTTTTACCTTCATACCTTGGACCCAGTTCCTAGCATGCTAAGAATTCAAAAGTAACAATGTACTTTTTTTGCATTGATATTTGATTTGTTTTAATTAAAGATCAACATATGTCTTATGACATTTGTAATGAATAGCAAACCACCAATTACTTTTTCTAAAAATGTGATGACACCATGAAGTGAATGTCTAAGCCTAATTATTATAACCATCTTTAGATCCCTTATTAAACTTAAAATAAGGGAAAAACTAATTTTGAGACTTTCTGATTAAACATACATTCCATATATAACTTACAACTTACTTGATTCATATTTGGAAATATGTTTTCTAGGCCTGTGCATATATATAGAAAATTAATTTTTCAGGAAAACATAATAAAGCCTTTCTTCAAAGTTTCTAAGAAAACCAAGTAAGGAAATGAACAAATGAGCACTTACTTTGGTATTGATGGCAATGCCCGTTCACCTTCTGGGAAGAAAAAGGAAAAAGACATGAGTGGCATCTTGGAATCTTTTAGAAGACAGTATGCAGGTAAGTCCAGGAAGGAGAGGCCTTATTTTGGCGTTTGCTGACAGTCCTTTACAGCCAAGCCAATACATTGATTCCATTTTAGGTTTTAATGGGTTTCCATCCAAAACTCATAACAAACTGTTTAAAGATATGCCAAGTCCTAATGAAGAGATATGACAAGCTGATAAAACACAGTCTTCCCAAATGACTAAGGGATTAGGGAACTCTTAAAATCAAAGTCTAGGTGCCTTGCCAAAAGCCCAAACATTCTGCTTTGATAAAATGATTTACTAGAAACACTTGGAATCTACATGGGAAGTACAATGTGTATAGCTATAGAGGAATTCAGAGATGAGAAGGGAAGGCTCCACACTAGTGGAAAACACACATTTCCAATGGTCTTAGGAACCCACAACCATAAATTTATTTTTGTTGCTACTTCATAAGTATAATTTTGCTACTGAGCAGTGTCTTGGTTCCTAAGACCATTAGAAATGTGTTTTCTGATGGTCAGGACCCACAGGTTGAGAGTTACTGTCCTACAGGACACAGGAAGCATCATGTCCACATGGCCAGTTGAGACCCTCCCATCTATTCCTACTGAATAACTAGCTCCCATGAGTGTCACATTCCTCTTAAACGATGGTCTGCCTTCAGTGGAAACTTTTTTTCCCTTATAATTCAGTTTCATCCTCATTCCGTACAGGAACCTTGCACTTTGCTTGGCCCTCTTAGGTTTCTGAGCCCCACAGAGCACACTGTCAGACTGTTTATTCTTCCCTGATCACCTCCAGGGTACCTGGCCCTGAGGTAGCACTCACAGTACTATATGGTAACTAGCCTGAGGTCTACAGAGTAAACTTAGTCCATAGCAGGCCACACAGTATACTGGAGGAGCTATCATGCCTCCAAAGTCCAGGATCTCCCTGCATTGCACTGATCCACTTGGATCATTTTCAAAGACTGCTTCAGAAACTCACATCCTCAGGACACTGTCATCCTTTGCAACTGTACTTACTTTAAAGCTCTCCTTCATTCTGAGGTGACAGAGCCTCATTTCTAGGACATTTTTATTCAATCAAACCTTTGATTTCACATCTTGACATAAAATTTATTTTCTTTTTCACCTACTCTAAGCTTTTCAAATGTACAAGAAAACAAACAAATCCAAGATAGAAACTTCAACACGAATTATAAGGGACACTTGAAAAAGAACTGGGAAGACAATCTCCAGACCTGAAAGAACCAAGGACAACTCAGGAGCTACTCTTAAGGGTTACTCAAAGCCCTATACTGTAACAGTGCACTCCAGCTCAGCTTCAAGTCTGTGGGCTATGACTTGCTTCTAGAAAAACAAGCATCTGGGTCACAACAACTCATCTGGCTTTCACGTTTGCAGTGAGAACCTGGCTGCTGGAGTGAGTGTGTCTACCAGTGCAGCAGGAGTGAAAACAGAACCTCACCTTTCTGTGGTCTGATGATGAAGGATTGTGTGGCTCCATTTACCAGCCGGCAGTATCCGTCGATCAGATCAGCCATGTTCTCTGCAATGGTTAGGGATGGTGCCGTCACTGTCAGAGGCTAACGGGAAAGAACAAGAAAGAGACATTATTGTTCTTCCCAGTAATCAAAGGAACAGCTGCACTATGACAGCACAACTCTGCACACACTTGAATACAGAGGAGTAGGAATGAAACATTTGCCAAATCTAAGTAAAAAGAGGAAATTTGGTGTTTAAGGACATCATTCCTGGAATTTGTGACAGAAGACACACTCAGAGCATAAGATAAAATGCACTGAAACCGAGGCTCACTTTTACAAGAGGAAGCAAGAAAAAACATTTTTCTTCAGAACGGCTGGCCCCTTGGGCATTCTCTAAGAATTCAGGTTAACAAGCTGAAGCACAACTTATTACAGAGACTACTATATAATAAACCTTTATCAACCATATCTTCATTTTCTGTCAGAAGAAATTGGTGACATTTCATTCTTTCAACATTCACAGCATGTTTGCCCAGAAGCTTAAAAACCATTTTCACACAAGGCAGGCTGTATTAGATAAGCTACCTAAAGACCTATTTCTAAGTGTTATCTGAAGACAACAAAAGCTGTATCTTATTTTCACATCCAAGTGTGTCCTGGTTCACATGGCTGAGCTGATCTGCGGCCAGAAGCAGATGCTGGGGCCGGTGGTGCTGACCAGGGCCCAAAAATGGGCGCTGGGGCTGGCAAGGCTGTCTTAAGCATAGAAGTGATTCATGGGGCCAAGCATGCTGACCCCAGGGGTGGCTGCTATGGCTGGCAGGGCTGCCCCCGGGCTGGGAAGGGCATTTGCACTCAATTCAAATGAATGCCTTGTTGGGAGAGCAGCCTGGGATCTCTGCAGGAAACTGATTTGCAACAAGTTTTCTATACTCCATGCTCGGGCTTGCTAATCTGATAAACAAGGTCTAGATGTCAACATTAATGACTTGGGATAACACAGTAGGACACTGCTGAAATAGCCACGTGAGGAGAGTTGAGAGACAAAGTTGAGAACACAATAGTTCCAGCTGCTTCTCAATACGCTCTGTCTGGAGCCCAGAGGCTTGTGTTAACTGGACAGTTCTTTCTTACACCACTTAGTACTTAGTTTCTCTTTCTTCTTTACTGATGTTTTAAGATGGGATCTTGTTATGTGGTTCATGCTGGGAGCTGTCCTGGGATTCTAGCAATGAGTCAGTAGTAGGCCCTGCCTGCCTATCTTTTAATCACACAGCTGCAGGTGCTATTACCATAATGACTGCCCTGAGAATCTTCCCACACTGTCCAGGAACAGCAACACACTCAATGTAGCACACAATTCTAACTGATTTCCTTGTCCCTTCATAGTGGTCTCTGATTATAGTCATAGCAATATTCCTGAATTTTAAAATCTACTCCTCTCCTATCTTGGAGATATTTAACCACTTACTAAGTAAGTCTGATTACTCATGAACACTTCATCTTTACTCCCGAGAAGTCATTTCTACACTTCTCCATGGATGAGTTGTTTTTGTTTTTTTAATTAAAAAAAAGTTTTTTCAGACAATATATTTTGATCATAATTTTCCTCCTCCTTCAAGCCCTCCCAGATCCTCTCCACCTCTCTATACATCCAACTTCTCTGCTGGGTCAGGGTCAGAGTTTTAAGAGCATGAATCCCTTACCTCAGGGGCACCAGCAATTTTGAGTTGTAGCATTCCTTTCCTGTCTTTGTCTTCACTATTTGAATACTGAATGGTCTGTACTTGGTTGAAGTCTGCTAGGTGTGTAGGCTTTGGGAAGAAAAAGTAAAACTCTTAGGTCATAGAAGAAACCTCAAAGCTTGAGGTCTGCTAGCTATTATGTGATCCCCTGCCCCCAACCCAACACCAGCCTCTTCTCAAGACAGTCTTCCCAAGCCAGGGACACTTTCCTCTGGTGAACAATCATGCAGTGGTCCTATGGGCTTCCTTCCAGGTTTAGTCATGCCTGACTGTGGTAACATCTTAAGGAGACCCAAACAAATGAGGGGGTAAGAGAAAACTCAGCTTCCACAGAAAGAAATGAGGAAAGCTGAATGAACCATGGAATTCTCAATGGCAGCAGATATTTAAATAGTTGAAAAAATTAATACAAGTTAAAACTATAGTAAGCATTTACAAAACAATGCAGTACTTTTATGGAGTTGGTAGTTTGTTAGCAAAACATGCATTCACATAATCTACAACAGGAGCTATGAGCAGAGGATGAACAGGATACAAGATCCTTAACATGATAATAGGAGCTACTCACAATGAAATCTAATTAAAGAACTAAAGGCTTTTTTATTTGTTGGTTGGTTTGTTTGTCGACAAGGTATCATCATGTAGCCCAGATTGGCCTAGAACTAGCTCCCTGTAAGAGCCCAACCTGTCCTACAACTAACAGTCTTTATACCTGCCTTCATTTTCCAAGTGTTAGTATTATAGAAATAATATTTCTTCCCAGTAAGAATTCACTCCACATACTCAGGAATAATAAGGAAAGGTTCATTAGTAATAATACACATCTGGCTCTGGCTAATGCCCAAAGGGAAAGTGGCCTCAAGCAGAAAAATTTACCAACTTATACATGCCTTAGGCTTATGCATTGCACATGTGCTGTCATCCTTAAATGTTTTTCAGTCATGGCACCAAGTCACACTTTGAGCAGTTTAAAGAGACAGGAGAGTGTGAGTGCAGAACTAGCCCTGCTCCTTGCTATCTGCTACGCTGGATGAGCTAGCTCGGGCAATGCTAGAGAGCTTGCCTGGGGTGACGTAGAGGGGACAGCTGGCAAGCTGACCAACCCAGCTACTACCCAGGCCCAAAAGCAGGACTTTGAGGTAGCCCACCCCAACACTCACCTATGAAATGCTAGAGCATGCTAAGGTGCCATACCCGCAGATCCAAAACTACAGGATCTCAATGGCACGAGGCAACAATAGGATATCCAAGAAGTGTCCCAGTGAGAGCCAAGTATCAAGGGTATAGCAGAAGCCAGAAACTTCAAACCAGACCAATGACTCATTGCAAGGAATACTTACAAGTAAAGATGTAGGAACTAAATGGTATTCTGTGCGACTCACTGGACCACACAACAACTTCCACGCTGAGATTTTTAAATTTGTTTGTTTTGGTTTTTGGCTTTACTTTTAGATTTTGTTTTGGAGGAAGAATGTAAGGGCAGGGGGCGGGAGTGAGGGAATGTGAAGAAGAGTGGAATGCATGATGTGAAGTCCACAAAGAACCAGTAAGAATGGACGGACGGACAGGAGACTGTAAGACTGGCCACTTAGGCAGACGGGTGTTTACACAGCAAAGATATTCTTAAGTACAATGGTATTGTCTTTTTCAAATAGGTGGTACCCAGGGTCGTTTTACCCACCTGGCAGAATTACGCTTTTCCTGGTAAGACACAGGGGACCTGATGGCAAACCAGGTCTTAATGGTGGCAGATTATTTGATATGTAGATGAGCATAATGATTAGCTATAAATCAGGGTTGTATCTTTTGTTTTTAAAATTGAGCCTAACCAGAGGGTCAATCTCTTGATGACTGAATAAAGTGAACAAACATTAGCAAGCACTTTTTCAGCACGCCTAAACTTCAATAATGGCACAAATTTTCTTTCTTACAGTTGCTAACAAATCTGGTAAGTGTACTACTTATCTTTCAGTTCATTTGGAGGCAGCCCTCCTTTAGCTAAACTCTACGTTTGTAACTTAGTATTTCCTAAGCAAGTTTCTTAGTAAATCTTTTATACCATCAATTTTACTGTTCTTTTTATCACTGAGATTACAAACATGTACCATCACAACTGGTTTAGAGGGTATAATTTTAAAATTTTAAAGGCATGTTTATTATAACTTAACAGGGACTGCCCTACATAAAGTCACACTGTGTGTGTATAGTGCTGGAGTTGCAATGTTAGGTAAAGCACTGAACCACAAGCAGAGTTCTAATGACATACTTTCCAGTGGTGAATCAAGATTTGGTTCTAAAACTAAATGACTACGAACATCCAAGTAAAAGGACCTACAGAGAATGCCACAAAAAATAAAAAAAACTATCAAAAGAGAATTTACTGAGCCAAACATAAAACCACAGTAATCAGTCTTCAGACAGTGTGTTATCAGTAGAAAGAACAGGAGACTAAGAAGCTGATGACAAAAGGAATAGCCCATTCAGGTGTAAACAGGTTTGATCCTTATAAATATCTGTTCCACACTGCAATATGTACAACAATGGGTGAGTCCTGTCAACAAAGACGACCATTTTCTATTGGCTTATACTGTACAAGGACAGGCGATAAGCACCTCAGTTTCTTGGTGCCATTACTTCTCCCCATAATGTAATCACCATCATTACACCAAGAAGGAGACGCAGACACAGATATGAAAGAATGACTCCCAAAAGCATAAAGCTATTGTTAAGATGGCGGTAGCCTTGCAATGCACTACAATGCCTTGCTTTTTTCATCGTCGCCTCCTGACAAGATGGAAGGGGGGCTCTCCATCTTGCACTATATATGACACTGGAGATAGACAAGAAGACACAAATGTAAAATGATAAAATATCTTGCAAGAAAAATGACTACAAACTGAATCTAAGGGCTATGACTCAAAATCATTAAGTCACAGAAGACTGGACATGGTGAGGCTTTCTGAAGAGCCAGGCATTTACACGCATGCCAGTGGACTGCGTGCTCCTGCTTCTGTAATCAGTGCCACTGCTGCTCCTGAATCTGTCCTGAGCATCTGTCCTGGGCATCTGTCCTGCCCTCAGTTTCACGCACCCATCCAATAGCTGAAAAGTACAGTATGCTACTGCAGCTGGTAGTGGCAGTAGTACACTGTACTTTTCATCTATTCACTGACCATTTGGGAATCTCTTAGGTTGGCTGTGTTTTTCCTAATTTTAATTATTTTTTAGTCTTAAAGTAAGGGGCTTTTATCAAATAGATTCATAACAAATAGCTGACTTCTATCCCAATTTTTCATGAAAAATTCTTAATCTCTCTCTCTCTCTCTCCTCTCCTCCCTCTCTCTCTCTCCCCCTTCCCCCTTCAATGGTCTTTCAAGACAGGGTTTCTTTGTGTAGCCCTGGCTATCCTGAAACTTGCTCTGTAGACCAGGCTGTCCTCGAACTCAGAAAACAGTCTGCTACTGCCTCCTGAGTGCTGGGATTAAAGGAATGCACCACAATCACCTGTCTCAGGGAAAGGGAAAGGGGACAGGGTGGGGTGGGAATGAGGAATGTCCTCACCACAGTCATGAGATAACTCTTTTGTTTTCTTCTAAACTATCATTTTTATTTTTCATGTGTGGATCTATTTGGGTTCACGTTCTGTCACAGTGAGTCTCAGGGACAGATACCATTCTGTTTTGTTCTGTGATGCAGCATTGATTGAAAAGTCAACCAAAGATTGCAAGTCAAGACAATGGAGAGGTAAGCGGAGTGGGGTGGGAGTTTAGACACTGGTGTGTTTAAATGAGAAAAACAATCAACAAAGAAAAACATTTCAGATTCCTAGATCTGTGAGGAGACAAATCACAAAGAAAAAAAGTACCTACACTGGTAACCCAGGCACAGTCCAAACAGTGAACCCAAAGGACCAGCTTCCATTCCCGGGATATTTGCTTTACATCAGACTCACTGAAGAAAAGGAAGAACTCAAATGTAAAAATTAAGCCATACTTGTGACTTCAGCACGTGGGTGGTCAGAGGTAGAAGATTTCCATTGAATGTAAGGATGGCCTAAGCCACACAGAGTCAAAGCCAGTCTGGGAGACAAAATAAGACCCTATCTCAAAACAGCAATAACAACATCAAAACAAATGAAATGGGCAAAATGACAAGAACTATAAAAATGGTAGAATACAGATGTGGGAAAACTACGTCCCCACATTGCCAATGACAGAAGTTTCCCAGCCTTTCTTAGAAGCAACCTGGCAAGTTCTTTTCAAGTTAAAAAAGATTTAATTGGAATCTCTTCCAGCAAAGAGAAATCAGCAGTTTTTTAACATACATGCAAAAGAACATTTCTTCTGGGCTCTGAGGAGATGGTGCAGTGGCTAAGACTGCTTGCCGTGTTTAGATGAACTCCTGACCTCAAAGCCCCAACATCCATGGAAAAAGGCCAGGCAAGGCCTTGCAGCCTATAACCTCAAAAATTGTAGAGGAGGAGGGGTATACAAGGCAGGGAGTGCATAGGCCAGTCAGCATAGTCAATGAGCTTCAGATTCAGCAAGAGACCATGGTCTAGAGGGATTAAGGAGCAAAGTGATAGAGGAAGATGGCTTTCTCTGGCCTCTGCATGTAAACACATAAGCACACGTACCTACCTACTGATATGTAAAAATGAATAAATGAACAAATAAAGTATACTTATTTCAACATAGTCTTCGGGCAGAAATCTGAAAGTTCAGTGACTGAGACACTCCCAGGTGGCCATCATTGCCAGGCAGACTGGAAGGCAGGCTCACAGGCAAGATGCAGAAGAGGCAAGATGTGTGCTTGGTGAGACCCACTTCCATCCAATAGACAAGAGTAAGGAGAAAAGCAGAGAGCACTGTTATCACTTCTATGTGGGTACAGTGGGGGAGGGGACTGCTAAAGAGACAGGGCAGAAGCACAGCAGAGTGGACATGGACAGCAAGGAGTACATGTGCGAAGTCATACCACACACAGATACAAACTTGTTGTGAGCAGAAACCCATACCAGTGAAAAGGCACACCTGCCAGTGTGAGCCCACAAGAAGACCTCAGAACCAGACTGCCTGCCCGTCTGTCCACATGGGTTCACAGACATCCTCAATACCACAACTCTGCAGGCCTTGCAGCTTGTAGTCACCATCACATGACCCAGACTCCAGACACACTTTCCATGCACACCCGACTACAAACTCCATCAGAGGGCTGCAGTCTGTTTGACAAGCAGGTGCTCAGCAGCATTTACTGAAGTACAAAATAGGAGCACACAAGAGTGAGACAAACTGAGGATTTCTCTCTTCAGTATTTTTTCTCAATGAGGTAGTAAGGGCAACAAGGAATTCAGAATTTAAAATTAAGATGTTTTTCTGGAATTAACTCATAAAGCTTATTTAAAGAGTAGGATGTCAGTACAAATACACTAAAATCACATCCAGATGTTAGTTATAAGGCCTTACAAGGTAAGCTACAACAGTTCCATCAGTTTTCACTCACCACCTAATCTGTCTTATTCATTTCCCTTCCAGGCTAAAGAATTCCAAAGGCAATAGATGTAAGTTTGTCTCTCACACCCCACCTGAGCAAGAAGACTACGAAATGAACGAATAAGTTTCTGTGCAGAATAGAGTCTTTCATGGGAGTGCCTTGTCCAGTCCTGAACTTTAATCCTGTGCCCACAACCAATTTCATGAGTCCTCCCAGAAGCAGACTTACATTGCAGCCCTTGTCTGTCAGGTAGCTGATCCCTTCTTCTGGGCCGATTGCCAGTTCTACGGAAATAATCCAACTTGACTTTGGAAGATCAAACAGGTGAGAACAGGGGTGCCAGAAGGAAAAAAAATATTTTAGACCTGGAGTCATGAATATATTAGATTGGAAGAGGACTTGGTTTACTGTTAATCTATCTAACCAAATAAGATAAAATATTTATAACTTCATTGACATAAGATCTACTGAGTCTGGACAAGACTAATTGTGGTCACTCTTAAATCTGGGAAGTCATTGTTTTCTCTAGGAAGATTATCTCAACAGGCAAACTAGCCCTTGGAGAACAGCTAATCAAACTGCAGGCCAAAATAAAAACACCTTCTTATGAATACAGGCATACTATTTAAAAGATGATGTTATCTAATTAATATATTTTCTTACCACTTTTCCCCTTTGACTTATTATCAAAACAGTATTTTTGTTTGTTAAGAACTATGACAAATTCGTTTTCCTTCAATTAGAAACACAGATGCACATGGATAAGAAAAAGCAGAAAAAAAAAATCAAACTAGTCCCCATCTTCCAAGGTCCCACACACTTACCCCAAGGGCACACTTGAAGCATTCTTTGTCAAATCTGTACACCGGAGAGAGAATCTCAAAGAATTTCAGGATGCTTTCTTCTCTATTAAGGTTGGCAAACTGCCTAAATGTTTGCTGGATCAGTTTTCTTAGTGTTTTGGCCTGAATGATGAAGTTACAGGAACATATTTTTCAATTCAACCAAGAGCAAAAACTGCAATCATACTCATATCATTTACATTACTACAAAAAGTCACTTGCCAAATAACTAGTGAGCATTATCAGCTGTAACACCCACATTAATAAACTTTGTCCTGTGACCAGTTTGATAGGTATAGTTGAGCAACACAGAACTTCATTCCTTCAACAGAAGCTTAAAGCAACAGCATGCATATTAAAAACGAAGCACAGAGCTGTTAACCCATTCACCACAGGGGCACATGGCCTACAAGTAGAAAGGATAAATGTACATATAGGCATTCACAAATAATTAACTTTCAAAGGCTCTTGTTCTTAGATCTAAGAAGTGAAATTTCAGGACACTATTTTTTTGTAAAGATTCAGCAATAAAGAGGATCTTCAAAACCATTCACTCAACATATGGAATAATTATACAAACTGTGGTGTATACTCATCAACCAATAAATACTCTAAGCTGCCTATAAACCATGTTATGGAACCAGTTGAGGGAAGTTGAAATCCTACCTTATTGTTATACAACAAAGAAAACAATCAATCCGTATGTACACAACAGACATTTTTAGAAAAGAGCTCATTTTTAAGCTTCAAATGCTTGTGTGTTAAGGGAGAGAAATCACTGCCTACAGTGCTTTACTTAGCATGGACAACCATTAGCTTCTGCTTCTTTTACTCATTTGAGTTTGGTCCTCACACATGGATACCTGGGAATGGAACAAGGGCTTCCCAGGGAGCAAGCTCCTGATCTTCAGTGTATGAGACAGCAGGGAGGCAAGAAAACAGTAACCCCACATTGAGATCTGAGGAGAGAAGACCAATGCAGGCATGAACTTAGTTTCTACGCTGCTAACACTGATTCTACTTCCTTGGATAACCTTGAGTGAAGAAGTGAAGAAGGTTTTTTGGCAGGAATGTCAACAGCAGGGAGAAAGAAAAAAAAAAAAAACCTAAGTATGGGGCTTTCCACTAGCTCAGGCAGGAAGCAACAATTTATGCATGTAGAGGTGCAGAAAAGGAGTCAGAGGTGGTCTGACTCTGATTTTATCTTGGAAATGTAAGATGCTACAGGCAGGAACCAGTATTGAACTGGCAAGGCCAAAAAATTAATTAAAAAAGGGGGGGGGAGGAACAATCTTCAGGCAAAGGTTGGAAGGACATCTGGGGCTATCAGGAACTCAGTTGAACACATCACACAACCTGCTGAAGCTGGAAGAACATCTGGGGCTATCAGGAACCCAGTTGAACCCATCACACAACCTGCTGAAGCTGGAAGAACATCTGGGGCTATCAGGAACCCAGTTGAACCCATCACACAACCTGCTGAAGCTGGAAGCAGGCGTGGGCAGTGGCTGGCACAGCCCACAGGAAATGAACGCCAGGACTCTGGTGGACCGAGATCAGGGAGATGCGCTAAGTGATCTGCTGAATCCTGACGGTAAGGAGGAGGCAGAAGAGTTGAGCTGCTAAGGTGAGAACAAGGAAACTAGGAGGGCCGGCCTGCACTAATGGGGTAATACAGGTGAGGCCTGCTGAAGTAACTGGGAAGACTCTGGAGTCAAAGGAGATACTGAAGACAATGAGCAAGGCAACCAGAAATGTAGTTACATGATAAAGGGTGCAGTTACTGAAATGAAAACCAGTTTGGAAGACTGAGAAGGGCAAGGAGCAAGATACTAGGAAGACAACTGACATGAGCTGAGAGGACATGTGCTTTCACATATAAGGGGTGGCGAGTGAGAAGACAAGAAGCAGAAAAACTACATCTGGTCACACTACAGCATGCCAAGCAGGCAATCAAAGGAATGGTTTAAAAGAGAGGCTTACAATGACTTGGTGCATGGACAGAACAAACTCAGGTAGTTACAGACACAGCATCTGCCAATCCAGTAGACAAAAAGGAAAGAGGAGACAGCTAGGAATAGACAGCTAGCTAGTTTAACAACACTGGAGTTCTGATGGAAGTGAAGCAGTAGGGGAACAAGAAAATCCCAGCTCATCCAAGCAGAACTAGTTCTGGTTCTGGATCAGGCTTTAACTAAAGAGAATTAAACATGTGCAGTGTCAGTAGGGCCTAACTATAAAATACACTGCACAGATAATGGTCTCTGAACCTAGGATGCTTTTAAGAGAAAAGTCGTTCTGGGAATAACCACCAAATACTGGCCTTGACTAAGATACTGACAAAGGCCACTTCCTCATGAAACCAGTTCACATGGAGAGTACAAATGACTAAGAATATGCAAGAGTATCATTAAAATACACCACCAAGAACTGTTGTTTCTCAGTCATATTAATCTAACAAGTCATTTCTCATTAGTCTGCCTAATGATTATCAGATGCTACTAGCCTCAAGGATGACTAGTTTCTCATGTGTATGTCAGGCAAAAGCAAAATTGCTAGAAAACACTAAAAAAGCTGAAGACATATTAAAGAATCACACACTACTGCCCAGGCACATCAGTAGTGTACCCAGTGCCCCTTCCATCTATCGGGACTGGACTCAAGGGCAAGTGCCTCAAGCACAGGTCCGTTTTCACTTATTGCATATTGTTTGCAATAGTTTTGTGAGTCTTAATATGTGCTTGGGTTGGCTTTGACCTTGAGATCCTCCTACCTCAGCCTCCCAAGTACCCAGGTCATTGGTGTAAGGCACTATGCTGATGTTAACTCAAGTCTCCTAATGGTGTTCTAGGAAGCCATCTTACTGTATTACTTGGGAACTGACTAGCTCCTTAAAACCTCTCAACATTTGTAGTTTTAAAACTGGATTTCTGTCATAATACAGAAATACATTAATGTTTGACAGTTTTGACTGGCTATCTAGGTTTAGGTCTACCGTACAGCTGTTAAGATGGTAGGCAAAATTTCCTCAGTTCTGCCCCTTATACAGTCAAGAAATAAACATCACTATGACACAATTCACTGAACCTGACTTGACATAGAACTCACCAGTATCCATTACCTGTCCAACTCCTATACAGACCGCATACACATTCATTTTGCTAGTTTTCTCAACTGAGAGCCTGCAGGCCTATTCATCCCTCATGACCTTGATACCTTTGAGGAGGAAGGGTGAGAATTGCAGAGTGCCCCTCACCTTTATTAGTGTTACTGGAGGAGTAATTTTAATCAAGCATTTGAAATACAAGGCACCTTGCCTATTATTCTCAGCACTCAAGGCATGTGTAGTCATTGAAAGGTTATAGGATTGAGCAATGTACTGAAGCTCCTTTATGAAAGTGGTGGAGTTAGCAGTAGAGGAACCCAGTTATCTGAGAAAGGGACGTGTACCTTGGCCAAGGCATCCACCCCGGCCACTTCTTTCAAGGGGAGGGCTGTGGCTGGGTTGGCTTTGGCAGGTCGAGGGCCTTTTTCCTTCTGTGGCTTCCAATAAAACTCTACACGGGACCATTGAGTCACGGTTTGTGTCTCGTTACTGGGTAAACCTAGACATTTTAACAACATTGGTTCCCTGATCCGGACAGGCTCTCCCTACAATTTCTCACTGCCTGCTGGCAAGGCAGGTAAGCACACCGATAACCTGTAACTTCAGACCAACGGCCCACTTTGCTTCAACCGGAACTCTGGATTTTCCATCCAACAGCTGGAGTGTCTGGCACCCTTACTGTGTTCTTGGAAAGGGGGGAGGGACCGCGGGACGCATGCTACACCCAACCACGATTGGTAAATTTTTTTGGCTCCTTTCTGAGCCTTTGGCGGCTTTTCACTGTCTTCAGACTCTGGGTCCTTTTTCGGGTAGTTTTTTCTGTCCTGGCTAGATTCTCGGGGACAAGTTCTGAAGAGTTGATCTTGCCATTTTCTTTTCCTTTAGACCTTGCTCATGAGTAACAAACTGACAAAGGAAATTGACCCATCCTCTCCTCTGGGATGCCTCTGAATGCCTTAAGTCATCCAGACTCACTTATCTTGGTATATTTTTACAGGACCTCTCTAGTCACTGCCAGCCATCTGGTCAATGGAAGCAGTTACCGTATGTTCAAGCTTTTTTCTACCTCTCTGCTAAACATTCTCTTCAGCATTCTTTCTTCCTTCCTCTAAATCTCATTCTTCTAGCTTTAAAAGCTAAACATAAAAAAACTCCCGCCAGTCAGAGGCTTCCTGCCACTTCCCGTCGTGACTAAACCTGTCTCAGGGCGGGGACCGCCTTCCACCCGGGAGTGTCCTATTTTGTCTCTCCTGCTCATTCAGCTTGAAATAACAAATTCCTCTTTTCTATTCAGCTTTGCTTCTACTGTATTTCTTCTCCATACAGATGCCAGCAGCTTACAATGGCCTGGCTCTGGTTAGTATCTGCTCTCGGAACACTAAGGAATGTGCCTATGGAAGCTGCCATCTTTGACCATGCGGCCTAACCTGGGAGACGCCATCTTGGCACGTGACCTAGCTGTAGGCACACCCACTTAGTCTAGCCAGCTTCTGCCAGCAAAGCATGCTGACAGATACAATTCATTTACTTTTTGTCTCTTTTATTTTGATCTCTAATTTCATCTTTCACTGGTCCTGTTGCGCATGGATTGTTTATGGAATTCTGTGCCTTTTCAGGGTCCCTGTTCTATCTGCAACAAATCTTCCTTCTCGTCCATGACTGTCTCTTTAAATCTGTTTGTTACAAGTGTGAATCAAACACTTTTCCCAAATCCTGTTTAATGTATCTATATGTATGTGTAAAAAATATAAGGTAACTTTATATGTAATTTAAATTCAACTATACTAAATATCAAATATTTCTGAATTGTTACATCTTTAAGTAATGGTAAACATTTAAAGGTATAAGGGTCTATTTCAAATTAACAAAATATAATACCCAGTCCTTCCTGTAAGCTGTTTGCAAAGGTAAAGCTTCTATTACTTCTATTCTCTAGCCATCTATGTGCTTAAGGCAAGTCAGTAAAGATAAATTTTGTCTACTGAGATATGCTAAACAGACAGACAGCCCTCAAATG